GCAAATCGTATTAGGGTTACTTCAAATAAGTCATATATTTATACTCAGTTAAATCTGCTTTTGAATGTAAGAGAGAGGAATAAATCATGCCATTATAAGTCTAATATTAAAAATCTAGTATAAAAACAAAAATATTGGATTATTATCTACGACCAAGTATATACACTTCTGGACACATCTATTGGCCCACCTTGCATTTTTAGTTTCTTTTGGTCCTACCTAAAAATTTACAGTAGGTCGAGTAAAATTTTTTTATGCAGTTTTGAACCTGATACATTTTACCATCTTTTTCGATCGTATTGTTTTAAATTTGAATTTAGAATACCACACCACATGGAGATACGCCTAACAAGTCGGGTATGCGCCTTGATGAAGTCAGTTGATTTTTGAATAAAAAACGTGTTTTATCAAATAAAGGTTTAATTTAATAACGCGTGTTGCCTCCATGGGCATCTACGACAGCTCTCATACGATTATTCATAGAGTTTATCAACCGCTCTATGAAATTTTGAGGGATCATCTCCCATTCCTCTTCTATGGCAGATTTCAATTCCTGTATCGTCTGGGCAACTGGCTGACGAGCCCTAACACGTCTTTTAAGCTCGTCCCACATGTGCTCAATGGGGTTCATATCTGGGCTTCTGGCTGGCCAGTCCATAACTGCGATGTTCACATCCCGAAGATATTCTCTGACGATTCCGGCCGTATGGGCTCTTGCATTATCATGCATAAAAAGGAAATTTGGGCCCACATAGTCCGCGTATGGCATCACGTGAGGTTCTAAGCACTCAAGAATGTACCTTTCAGCATTTAATGTTGGCAGCCGTGGTTCCGTAACAACCTCAAGTTGAGTTTTGCCGCTCGCGGATATACCGCCCCAGACAGTCCATGAGCCACCGCCATAAGCAACCCTCTCTTTAAAGCAGCATTGTGCAAAACGCTCTCCCTTACGTCGGTAGACCTTCTTCCTTCCATCATTGCTATGTAACGCAATTTTAGACTCATCAGAAAAGAGTACACCGTTCCAATGCTGCTGAGTCCAATTTAAGTGTGAGCTATTCGGTGGGCTCGCATTAGTTTTGGGCCATTAGCTGGCTTGTGTGGTACCATATCGCGTTCTTTTAATCTCCTCCGAACAGTTCGAGCGCTCACATTTACTACATGGAAGTCGCGAAGTTGGTTTTGTATTTCAATGGAGGTAAGGTGACGATTTCTCAAGCTGGTCGTCACGATGAATCGATCCTGCCTTTCAGTTGTGACCCGAAATCGTGGCCTTCCTTGGCGACGAACAAAGCCGCCAGTCTCTAGGTATCTCCGATAAACGTTTCGGACCGCAGATCGACTTAAATTAAGTTGATCACTCACATTTCTTTGACTGTGTCCGGCCCGGATAAGTGCCACAGCTTGAGCGGCGACTTCAGGCGAAGTATCCATAGATTATTGATAGAACCTCATCTTAATGTTAAGAATAAGTAATGTTTGTTGCAAAACCAAAGAGAAAAATCACACTTTCAAGAATTAAATCCAACTAAACCAATAAAATCAAGTTTTCTTAGTATTCGATCGTTTAATATCAATGAGCAGGCTCCAAATTGTCTTTTGTTTCTTTAAATTCTGTGTTCGAAATTAAAAAAAAAATTGAATGCAATTATGAATGTGCCGGGTTCAAAACTGCATAAAAACTTTTTACTCGACCTAATATAAATTTTTAGGTAGGACCAAAAGAAACTGAAAATGCAAGGTGAGCCAATAGATGTGTCCAGAAGTGTATATGTAATAATCATATGGTATCACTTTTACGTAGATATTGGTGTTTAATGTAAAGTAGTAGTACATGCTCTATTGTCAATAGTTTCCGCACTGTACGCGTTATATGGATTTTAATTGGTATTTAATTTTGGCTTACATTATCAAGGTTTTCATACGGATTATTTTTTAAAACATTCTATAGCCTATGTTTATCGGGGATAATGCAGAATTCTAATAGTGAGAGAATTATACAAATCCGCCCAGTAGTTTTGCAAACAATCAAATATTTCCTGTTTATTACTACGATATAGTGTAGATCATTCGATTAGTACTTACGTCTTTTCTGAAATGATTAATAAAACTATTTGGATCTGCTAAAGAACACTGAAGGTCTTTTTTGCTATTTCCCTTTCATAGTACGTGGCACTAGAGTAGTATCAAAATAAAAGGATGAACCCAAATGTATCGCCGTCCACACTAAATGGTCCGAAACTGTGGCCTGAGACGATTTATGTACACACGAACTGGAACTTCATCCTATGGGAACTTATTATAGTGGAAATACGTGGGGTCAATTTACTTTCAAGTCTCTAAAGTTATAAACAATATTTTTCTGGCTATTGAAATAGGATTGCTCATTAAATAAATATTGATTTAAATGTAATATTGTGTGAAATATGGGTTAGGTTAGAGAGATGTTTAGAGTTGTTTAGAGAGAGGAGTTTGGAGATATGGAGCTAATTGGAGGTGTCCTGTCTATAAGAGGTGCTTAGAATTTTTTTTATATAATTATAATTATTAATGTATAAAATTTTCAGTGTGGTATCTTTTGTAAAGATGGATGAATGTTTCAAACAATAAATGAGGCTTAATTATTATTATTCATTATTATTATGTGAAGATAATATAATATTAGATTCCCACGAGGATGTAAGTGCGTGCTCCTATTTCTCCATGCTTACTGTTGATAGAGGACAAATCTTGGTTTTTAATTATTAATTAACTATGTAGAACATGGTGTAATGGTTGCAGCTCCTTACAAACATTGTGTAAAACAAAAACTTGGCGATTAAAAAGAGTGGCGGAGTTTATTGCCAGCTCTTCTCGTCCGTTCTACGCCGTTGATTTGAGAACTGGCAGTAAATGTAAAATTAGAAGCATTTAGACATAGACATAAGATTTATTACTAACAAAACACACAATTTTTTTTTTCTAATAAAGAACAAGGTACGTTTTAAGTTTGTAATGCCTGCATTTTTTATGTATTTCTTTATTGACGTTCATAAGTGTACATTGTGTTACCCAAATGAATAAATGAATTTTAACTTTGAGCCGAAATATTCAAAAAGACTCGAAGATTTGAAATCATTACTTTGTAGTACTGAGCCAGATTTTTTCTTATAAATATTGAGTGTATTTCATTTTAATTAAATAAATAATAGGTGTATTACCCTAATAATAATAATACTTTATTCGTGGTGGTGATAAAATTGATCTAAACGCTAGTCCCCATACTAGGGGAGACCCTGCGTTATGGGTAATTACAATTATTCCGTGGTGCAAGTTAAAAACAATTTTTAAAGTAAAAGTCGTATAATGTACTCAAATAGATTTAAAAAATAATACTTCATTGTATCCGCGTATGAAATCCCGTAATCTATGAGCTTAGGATAGACACATTTTCATGTCTGGTTTTGTTAAATAGTATTTTTTTTGGTACACGATATTAAGTGGAATTTTTTCAAACATACGACCTTAGTCTTGGCAAAACCAGGCTACCATCACTCATATAAAAACCCCAAATTTTATTTAAATTAGTTCAGTGTAATCGTATTTATAATATTTGTGGAATTAATGCAACACAAAGCATATTTCGTTCATAATTTTACTCAAGGAAATTGTTTCTCTATATGTAAAAGCGGGCCTGTCTGTCCGTTCCACCGTAATAAAGGGATCTGCATGAATTCGAATTTTATAAAATATTGAGGGTATTTTTATCGGAGCTCGGGATTTGGGTGCTATTAAACTTTTTTCGAATTTTATCTTACGGAAGATATTGTTCTTGTTTTTGGCGCTTAATGTACCAAACGAATGGTTCTGACCTCAGCCATGAATTTTTGAGATAAAATTTATTATAAATGCTATATGAATTGTAATTTTGATAGGAGATTTATTGAGATGTGGTGGATTTTTTGTTTACAATTTTTTTTTATAGATCTTAAGTGGCCATGGGCACTCGCAATGTCGTAGGGGTAGCGAGTGTGTTGCCGGCCTTTTAAAATATTTACCTTTTAATTTATGTCTTTTATAAGTCATTCTCGTGTCATTTTGCAAGTAAAGAATCTTGAAAATATACTTTAACTAATTGAGCTATAACATGCCCCATGTTTGAATAGTATTTTAGCGGAAATTTGCAATAAAAGCAAGTAATACTTTCCATTTATTAAAATATGATTCATTAATAGTAGAATTCTTCAGAAAACAACCCTACATTCAAGACATTGTCTAAAGAAAAAAGCTTTGGCATTCATAGCAAATTGATATCAATCACTGACAGATGAAACGCGGGCAAATTCTTTCAATAAAGCACCTCAAAGCCGGAGAATAATCAATTCTCATTTCGGCCCAGTATCGGAAGCAGGCGACCATTTTTAATCGTCTAAGAAATCGAAAGAATACAGTCACCGGCAGACAAATAGACGTAATTAATGACATTTTACTCAGATACGGGAATAAAGGAAGGGACAAAACAAAACATCGCGCTGGTGTCGAACGAAAGAATTTATCATCGCGACCGCAGCGACAGTCCGACCGCCAATGTCCATTTGGATAATGCCCAACGCGATTAAAAATATAAAAATACCCCCACCCCCCCGGGGGGAGGGAGTCTGACGGAGGACACCGCTCTGAGGACACAAAAGGATTATAAATGAGAAGGAATTTTAGATAATATTTGTACGTTGGATGTGGATTGTAATGTCGGTAGATCGGGCGGGCGACGTCGGGCCCGGGGGAACCCCCGCGCCTTCCGCGATACTAATGAGTGTTTGTATCAATTTGTTAGTATTGTATTTGAATATTTTTCGTGCGTTCGTTACGATTTTAATCCCTTGCGGTTGTTGCGGAGTGGATCGATGCTTTTTTGTTTTAATATTTCTCGGCCGTTCGGAGATTTTTTATTTTAATAATGGTTGCGTTTGATCGTGGCTTGGTCGTTCGTGTTGATTAAATGTTGTTTTATCTTTATTGAAATGCGACGTTCTTCGTGAGTTTGGGTTACGTAAAATTACGTTATTTATTGAAATGTTACATACAATTTCAGACAAATGACGGAAATGTAACATATGTTAGCTACGGCATTAAAATTAATCCTATCTACAATGTGAAATTCGAAACAAGCTAATAAAAATATGAAATTTTTAATATGCAGAGTATTTGGAGAGTGTACGGAGCCACAGCGCCAAAGGCTGAGATAACGTTGTAAAAATATAATTCATCGTCATAATTAATAAATTAGAATATTTTTTTCGCAGCGGGATTTTTAAACACGTACCCTGAATCCGAATGAACGCAAAAGAATAACAAGAAGAGACACCGCGGCCACGACGTGTTTTCAATTCATTATCTCGAAAACAAAAATTTCATTAGCCCGAGATTTCCTTTTTAAATTTAATTATTCATATTTAAATTAAACATAATATAATAGAGGTCCGCCTCGGTAAAAACCGGTTTTATCGTATCATATTTTATTAAACGAGTTTATAATTCCGCGCCCAATCTGCGCGGGGGGCGGCCGAATTTATGAGTACGGAGCAGAAAAATCCACAATAATATTTCAGGGATGTCCGGCGGTCTTTACTTACCCCTGATCTATTTAAAAAAGAGGCCCGGAAGGACAAAGGGTCGTAAAAAAACTGGACACGTATAGGTTGGCCGCGTCGCGTCGGCATTGTCTGATTCTTATTTTTTACCGAATCGGAACCTTTCCTGGGCTTTTTATCGGTTTTTGTTCCGGAGGTGGGTCCGGCCTGTATTTGTATGCCGTTTGTTCTAATGCACGATCGTTTGTTACCCCTTTTCTCTCGCGTGGTAAAAAGGCGACCCTTTGCAAATGTGATTTACAGCGAAAGGATGCTTTTCTTATAATTTTTGTTGGTTTTAAATTATTATGATAATTGGGACATGTTGAAGGTACAATAAAACCTTTGCAGCTCAACAAATTCAAGCAAATATTAGCTAGTAATGGACCAAAACAAAAAGGCTAGAAATTAATACACTGTGTAGGAAGTCGTAGAAATAAATGTCAGACTGCTACGAGAACTCGTACGACACGAACGAATCGTGTGTCCTTATACGGATATATGCCGTTCCAATAATTAATTTAATTATGGTTCTCTCAAAAGCGTTACTGAAGGGTTACCGCGAATCTTTATAGGGATTAACGAATGAGGCCCATTTTTACTGATAAGGGAGGGTCCGCAGGAGATTTTTAAACAATGCTTAATTTATGTGATGTGGTTTTTGTATTAATTATTTTACGTGGATTTGTTTTGATACGAAATAATAAAAAAAATACATTTGTTTGACTGATATGTGCTTTAGTTAGTTATTTTTATGTAAAAGACGGCAAACGGGCAGACTCACCTGATGTTAACTGATACCGACACTCACATTGCACGAAGGCTCGCAAGTACGTTGCCGGCCTTTTAAGAATTGGTACGCTCAATTCTTCCATCTTCGCAAATTGAATCATTTATGAGAAGAACTAAGTACTCTATACAACTTTAATAAATCTGTAAAACAACCCACATAAGTAACTCAATCGACTAAATTTAATTATATATTTTATTTATTATTTAATGAAACAGTATCCCTACAAATCTTGATCTCGGCTTTGTATCTATTATGGTGATATTTTTTTAAGTTATACTTCTTTAGGCGCGTTATGAAAAATTGATGAGTGTGAAATTTTACGATGCGCGCGCACCGTGACACAAAATTAACAGAATGAAGTTGCACACGGAAGATGCTACGGCATTGGACATAATTTAAAAACAACATTCGAATAATAATAGAATTTATATTACACTTAATGTAAGAGAATAATAATAAATATTTATTTATTTAATTTTTCAAATGTAAACTGAACTTTATTGACTATAATGACTCCTTTTCCAGTCTTTTATTATTTAATTGTAATTAACTATTTGCATGCAATCAAAAACTATTTTTAATAATGCCAAAGAAGTATAACTGCTTACGCGCGTACATAAGTACACGCACCCTTTTTTAAATTCTAATAAGTAAGTTACCAGCCTTCTGTACCTGACACTCGCTGACTTGGGTCTAAGGCATGTTTCCTTCAGCGTACGAGCGAGTGTTAAAAAGAAGAAAAGAAAAGTCTATTGGTGCGGGGATTGGACACTGCACCAACACTGCTCAAATATTTAGTTCAGTTTCTCAGTTTATTAAAAATATCATATTTACATTTCAGGAGCTATTCGCTGGACGAACGATTCATGTACGCGAAGGGTGAGGTCCATAGAGTACGGTGGCATCCCAAATCACTCTCACATTTGTTGGTTCTGCTCTCAGATAATACTATGAGGTAAGATTAATGACATAGCCTATAGAAACAATTATCTATGATATACGTGATATCATCTGTTATCCTCAGTATCTTTATGCTGCACTGGTCTCTCTGTATCGACTTGGAGCGAACCTAATGGATGTTGTCAGATACTATAAGGTGTTGATGGGATCACCCAAACAGTTGTATACGTTATAGGAATTCGCGTTGTAGGAGTGTTCTCGCAAAACCGTTTTTTTTAACAATTCAAAAACTAGGAACACGAATTTAATAGAGTTATTTAGTTTAATGTTATAACAATACAATTGAATCAGGTGCAAAGGTACGTAAAACTGATTATGTACTTGAAAAATCATTATAAATTTCACACTACAGAAATATAGTATGTAAAATCTCCGCGTTGTACGAAAACGCGTTATAGGGAAGATTACTGTACCCTTCCAAAGTTTCTTTGCTTAAGCTTGCCATGTACCGCCGGCCAGGTGCACCAGGTCGTCGTGTATATATCCGTCATAAAATAATATTTGAACGCACTAATTCAAATACTGGTTCCAATCACAAAACATAGCATAGTCTCAAATCGTGTGTCAAGGCTTTTTGTTCTAATTTCTCACTAACAATTCCAGGTTATACAACATAGCCCTTAAGACTGGACCACGGATGATTAAGTCCTTCCTAATCGGACCAAAACCTGTAGGGTCCTTAGGAATGACCTTGCTGGACAGTTTCGGTGACTCGGCAGTCGATTTCACAGCCACACCAGATAATGAACACTTGCTGATTCTCAGTGGGAACGGTGATGTTTATATGATGAATACTGACTTCTTGGAGAGTAAAAGGTATTTTAAAATCAGTACAGAAATTTGCCATTTTATTTATATTTTTACTAGCCGTTTCGCGCCCGCTTTGCTGGACGAATTAAAATAAATTTTATGTTTCATTATTTTATTTTTTTTCATATTTTTATTATTCTTCTTTTTAACTTCCCGCTAAGAAAATTGAAATATTTCGAAAATCGAGTTTTTAACAGATGTTGACGTTTAGAGGTTCTAGGAAGCCTCCCCGAATGTTTCCGCGGTGAAGTCCGTATGGATAAATTTTCATAAAAGTAAAACAGCAATAAAAAAGAACGTTGGAATTTAATAAATAAATAGCCATAAACCATCTAGGAAAAATTTCGCATCGAATGGTGGTAGTTTCATGTCGATACGATCAGTGGTTTAGGCGTGAAGGAGCCTCAAACGAAGACCATTTTCCTTTTATATATATTTTTATTACTTTCATGATAAAGTAAATAATATATGTACCTATTCAGAAATTTTAATGATTTTTTTAAATGGGTTTTTGTTGGTATTCGATTTGTTCGTGATTTTTGTTATCATATGTGTGTGTGTGTCGTTACGTTTCGTTAAATCAATTAAATTTATTTATGTCTGATGATTGCCAAGTCTCAGGAAAGCCGGATCTTTTTATCAGTACATACTGCATTTAATTTTTAATATTATTCAATTAAAACATGCTTATAGTTCCTAGATGAAAACTAGAATTCTAGAACGTCAAATTAATATCTTGTTTAGAGCTGTCAAACCATTTTTTCTGTATTAAGTTTGACATATTTGACAGCGCAAAAAACGAGATTGTGTCACGATACACGAATTATGCGGACCTCAAATTTTCATACACCACACACCTGTAGTTCTCTAATGGGGCATGGGGCACTTCATCATCACTTGATCAGCCTTATGTGCCTACTAAGACTAGGAGGATTTTTATCTGATTTTTTTATAAAACATTTCAGTCCCCTACAAATAAAACTTCGCGGTCCTCTCGCCATGTACCCACCAGCTGATGACAACTATGGCTCCGAATCCTGTGCCATCATGACGATGGGAGCCGCAGACTACTCCACCATTGTTGTCATCGCCAGTGCCACAGCATCGCTGTACCATTGTCTGCTTCTACCTAACGTAATTTTTTTTAGATCGCTATATATAAAAATATATATAATTCCTGTCACCTCTTATAATATCTGGCTTATAGAACAGTGAATTGCATTAAAATCGATACAGTAGTTTTTAAGATCTGTATTACTAGACATCTATAATAAACTAGCGGATCCGACAGACGTCCTGTACACACGTCTTACATACAAAAAAATATATCTAACAATGTAAATAATTCTCGACTCCACTTGAACACACAAAAAATTTCATCAAAACCTGTGCAGCCGATGTATATATATACCAGCTGTTTCTTTGCTGTATGAATAACCTAGATACCGACTGCAGCGCCATCTGCCGGCCTGATTTGTGAATCTAAACCATCCAGGGCGCCACCCAATTCAAAAAATTCATTCAAATCGGTCCAGCCGTTTAAGAGGAGTTCAGTGATATACACACGTCCAGTAGAATTATATATATAAAGATAGTGTTGATGGGATTTTGAAAGCGAATTTGTCTTAATTAATACAAAACTTTTTTTGTAGTGTTAATTTTTTTATGAGTTCCTACTCATATTCCTCTATTGGTTTGTTAAAATTGATTTCAGGATTCGGAGAAAGAAGACAGCGATGGCTACGCCCTCTACGTTATGGAGTCTGTGGACTTGAACATTGTGTTGAACAGCAAAGATGATGTGCCATTTGTTTATCCGGTTCACTTGTACCCTGTAAGATTTAATTGTATTAGCCAAACATGTTTAAACTTTAATAAAACTTCAGGAAACTATATGTATACAAAGGCCGGCATCGCACGCGTGGCACTACCCGTATTACCTCGACGTTCCTCGTTCCACAACTGAGCGTTATTTAAGGCACTTGCTGCGCACTATCTCTTCGACTTAGGGTCCTTCAAGAAAAGAGCGTACCTGGTCTCTGCTTAAAAGGAAGGCAACGCACTCGCAAGCTCTCTGGCATTGAGAGTATCCATGGGTGGTATCACTTAACACCAGATGAGCCCGGTTATTTAAAAAGAACTGGAGTCGATTCCTTGCATCTTTCATCTTCTAAGAATGAAAGAAGATATCCCGATAAGAAAAGATAAAAACGGCCCTTTTTTGGACCACATTACGATCTATACAGTTTCTCTATGATTACGACGAAACAAACATTTTATCTTACAAATTAAAAATTAAAAAAATATTCAAATTTGTTTCAGTGCTTGGGGAATACGTACGCGTGCATGCACGCTGGCGGCGTACACTCCGTCACTTTGCCCTTCATGGGACATCTCAAGGACTTAGCTTTGGCCGAAGAGAGTAAGTTTATATCGCATTTAAACAAAGATTTTATTATGTTAATAATGGAGCTGGTACCGCTCGTTTTAATCGCTTATTATTTGGATACCTTCCAAATAATAAGCGATAAATACAAATAAAAAGTGTTTAATGTTTTTATCATCTCATTTTTAAAGTTATACTTCTTTTGACGCGTTAGGGAAAATGATGAGAGTAAATTTGTACGATGCGCGCGCACACCGTCACAAAAACCGACACCCTGAAGTTAGCAAAGTCCCTATTTTGAAATTAAAAATGTCCATTTCTTTAATTAAGTAGAATTTTTTTTGTGATATTCAAATAAACTTTATTTAACTTGATAATGCGTTATAATGAAACTTTCAATGTATTAAATACAATATTTTTTTTTTTTTTTGAAAAGATTATATCTTGTTACGCCAAACAAGTATAACTTCTAACGCGTGTACACAAGTTCACACACGTTTTTCTTGTTATGACCATAGATACAAATAATAGAGTACAAATTTGATTTAAAATTGCATACAGAAACTGTTTCCAAAAACTAATTGGAATGTTTATTATGCATTTGTATGTTCTAGAATTTTTTAAAGAATGAACAATTTCTCACCCAGGATAATGTCCTTTTCAGATGAAATAGATTCTATCCTGTCTCTGATAAGCAGCAAGTCGAGCGCGGCTCGTCACTTGGTCTGCACCAGCTCGGACGAGGCCTCACCTCCGGTGGGACTCGTCTTGGCTCCTCCGCTTCATGACATCCTGGTACTTTGCTCTACGGGGGAGTTGCTAACTAGGTGAGCAAGAAGAGATAGAGAAGAAAGATCTTTTAACTGTGCTGTTTGTTTAAAAGGATTTTTTTATTTTGCAATTATGTTTTAATTTTAAATGCGAATGGAAGGATTTTTTTTATTTAAAGTATATCTTGTCACAATATTCTTAATAAACTTATTATTATTATTATTATTAACCGATTTCAGAAAAAGAAGGTTATCTTTTCGAACTGTTTGTGTATCAATATATTAATATTGATTAAAATTGTAATTTCCAAGTTAGTAAACAGTCAAATTTAATTAGAATCGGTTCAGTAGTTTTTGGGATAGATATTAATTAAAGAAACTCTACCGGTTTTTAACATAAATTATTTTAGACTGTTGTGGCCTAATGGCCTGTGCACCAATGGACTTTCTTTCCATGAAATATCGTGAGGAAACCGGCTTGCCTTAGACCCAAAAAGAATCGCCTATTAGATTGACAAATGATAATGAAACAGATACAAAAATCTGAGGCCCAGACCTAAAAGGTTGTGACATCGTTGTTTTTTTTGTTTCATTTCTATCGAATACATCAAATCATTTCTGTTTAAATTAACCTAACACAAGAGGACACACATTCAAATCCTGAATGTAACGAAAAATCTCAAAAACTACTGTACCGATTTAAAAAATTATTTTCCATTCACACAAGCATAATGGCAAATTATGAATACTTAAAATATTATTTAGAAGTTATATAAATTTCCAGAAGGTTGGAGCCATACATCATAGAAGAGAACCTGTTCAGGGAGCTGCAACTCCAGAATCCAGCTTTGCACAACGAAGAGTTACACGAACTATTAAAAGAAGTAATTATATTGTTTACGTCTTTAGTCGAAGGTCCAAGGTTCAATTTCCGTCTCCAGATATATATATATATATATATATATATATAAAACGAAAAGGATTTTAATTCATTTAAATTTTTTAGTATTGCCCTAGTGTTTAGAATGCAACAACCGAGGTCGTGATTCGAAATCCGGAGAAAAAATTAAATAGGCTATTTGATTGTAAAAAACCATTTCAGATTATTTGTAACTATAGAATCTTATGTAGTTATTTTTAATTCTGTTAAATATTGTCTTTAAAAAAATGTTTGTCTGTTAAGTCGGTTTACGGACGATAGTTTAACGTAACAACGTCATAACAAAACATCGAGGAAATGATTGCTTTTATGAATAAAATTGATTTATCATTATTCTGTATGGATACAAAGGAGTGAATACTCGGACGCATAGGCCAATCGAATAAAAGAGATAAAGGTGCGGCGCAAACGTACAATGAGCGTAAAGGGACAATGAGCGTAACGGGACAATGAGTCGTGGTTTTTGTGCGTGCAGTCGGCGGTCATCGATTTATAAGACGTTCTCACGTCAAAATAAAGTGTTATTTAGATTAATTTTTGAGTAAAATATTCGCAATGAATAATATTTTTTTTAAATGAAAATATTTATTAAAACTCCAGTCACGTAGAATTCTTTTTCTTCTTGCTATCTCCTTTCGAAGGTTGGTGATCGTCGTGGCTACTTTCATTAATAGGGGTTGATCAAAGAGGATAGATAAAAATTAAAAGTTGTATGTATTTTAGTGTACTGTATCATAAAAAAATAAAAACAAAACATTTTGTCACTTAGGGGTTTGAAAGATAGATAGTAGCCGATTCTCAGACTTACTGAATGTGCATAGAAAAATTCATAAGAATCGGTCGAGCCGTTTCGGAGGAGTATGGGAACGAACATTGTGACACGAGAATTTTATATATATATATATAGAGATGATAATTTAGTGATATTAATTCAATTCAATTCACAAAAGTATGCAATTTATTCATCGATGTTTTCTTATGACGTCATCACGTAATATCGTCCGCAAACCGACTTTTCAGACAATCAAATTTTTTTCGTGTTGTCAAATAGCCTGTGTCTGCTTTCTTGGGGTCGAATTATACATATAGTATTTATAAAAGCGCGAATTTATTTTTTTCAGCGTCAAAAACTGTCTTTCGTGACGATAATACAAGAGATATTGAGTCGTGAGGTCTCCCAACCCATTCTGCATTTGAACAAGAATCAGGATCTGGGACCCAAAGAGATGTTAGAGGTAAAAAAATAAAATAAAAAAGTGATTTTAATTAAATTTTAACTTTGATGAGATGAATTTGAGATTAAAAAATACGGAGAGTTACGAACACGTGAAAATCAGTCAACTTACAGTCCTTAACTTAGTGACTCCATGAAAAATTAAAAATTATTCAAAGGCCGGCAACGCACTCGTGACCCTTCTGGCAATGTGAGTGTTCATGGGCGGCGGTATTACTTAACATCAGATGAGCCCCCTGTTACACAAAAAAAATGATTAATGTGTATTTGCAGATGTTAACAGAGGTGACAGTGAAGCTCCGGGAGCAGTACATCGCGCGTCAGAGCAGAGCCAATTTAGCCCTGGTCAGCAAGATCAACGCGCTGCGCTCTTTGCAGATGCAGCAGGTCGCCTGGAAGGAGGACTTACAGGTAAATTAAAAAAAACAACCTGTGTGTACTTATGTACACGCGTTAGAAGTTATACTTCTTTGGCGTAACCAGATAAAAATCTTTTCAAAAATATTATTCTACGTTTGTAGAAAAAACTTCACTAACAATAGAAAAAAGGTATTTAATACATTGAAAGTTTTATTATAACGCATTATCTAGTTAAATAAAGTTTATATCAATATCACAAAATAAAATGTTGTCTATAGCTAATTTCAGGGTGTCGGTTTTTTGTGACGATGTGCGCGCATCGTAACAGTTTACTCTCATTATTTTTCTCTAACGCGCCAAAAGAAGTATAACTTCAAAAATAATTTTGAACAACATTACCCTAGACTACGAATATCTTAAGTGAGCATAGTAAATATGTTTACATTTTTTATCAAACTAATTATTATTTATTATTATAATAAATACTACAAACAACATTTTTAGCTTAAAGCCAAAAAAAGCAAGGTTCACGGCACCGATCTCACTTTTAATCACAATCACTCGGTCCAATTTCTCATCACCACTACGATACATTGAATACCCCACCAAAATTACCATGCGTTTCCTAAACGCACTGTCCAAAGTCAAGATGGCCCCACTCGAGACATTGGCTCGGCTCTGATTGGTAGATTTTTGAGGGCAAACGGGCCGGAGGCTTACTTGATGTTAAGTGATAACGCCGCCCATGGACACTCAAATTGCCAGAAGGGTCGCGAGTGCGTTGCCGGCGTTTTAAACATTGGTACGCTGGACCTCGAGGTGATACGGGTGGAATTTCGTATTTTGCCTTGACGTCCAATGATTAATAAATATATTTGTATTCGTTAAGTAATCATTGTAAATTATGAAACAATTAAATAATAACAAAATTAAAATATAATTTTTAAAAGTAATAGAAACAATCTCAACCAAAATCAACGGTCAATTGATTCGATCGAAACATTTCCTGACATTTATTATTTTATTATTATTTTGTAATTACAGAAAGACATTCAAGACGTCGAAATGGAGTCCGCGCTTCTGATAGAGAAGAGGAATTTGGCTGAGAAAAAGCAAGAAGATATTAAATTTAGGTAAATATGAATGCATACAAAATAATTAGTTGCATAGATTTAGATTTATTCTAACTTTAAGTTTTTAAATAAATAATCTTAAAACTTTATTAATAAAAAACGAAACATATTGAAGACAAGTAATGTATAATTAATCGCGCGTTATTCGAGAATACTACAACGTGTTTCCTATAACGCGGAACCAATATACCGCGTTATAGTATATTACTGTATAAGCGTACGATGGCTGAACCACGATCGTACTCGCAAAATGAAGCTTGAAGTGGAGTTAAAATATGTTCCGTTCGTTGAACGTTAGTTGCGTAAATCTATCTATCTAAGGAATTCAATTAATAGCTTAAACTAAGGCCTAAAACAACACACTGGTAACGGACTACCTGCTCATCCTGACCGTTTCTGGGAACAAATTCTGGCTGCCAGCTAGTTTATTATTATTCATTAACTATTAATTACTTAAGATGTCATGTGGAACATGGTGTAATGGTTGCAGCTTACAAACGTTGTGTAAAACAAAAACTTGGCGATTAAAAAGAGTGGCGGAGAGTTTATTGCCAGTTCTTCTCTTCCGTTCTGCGCCCTTGATTTGAGAACTGGCAGTAAATGTAAAATTAGAAGCATTTAATGTATTATTTACGTTCATATTTACATAAATAGATGAATTTGAATAGTTTGATCGTAATACCCGCGAAAGTACTACAAACAGTGCGATTTAACAGCAATTGTCTTAACGCAGTTAAAACCGCAGAGCAATAAATAAATTTCAGATGTTCTTCGGTTATTCGGGCACTGAGTTCGTCCTCCATCAAGAGTCCAGCCGAACAGGAGATGATGAGACAGTTAGAGACGTACAAACAAAAATCCTCATATTTGCAGACGCAGACACGAAGCCTTAGAGAACATGTGGACAAACATATACAACGGGTAAGATTTACATTCGGCTCAAATATATGTATGTTTATGTGCACGAATAAGGTCATTTCTAAAATAAACATCATTTACTCATTCTTCGTTCTCACATTCGTATATCATTCTTTTATTGGTCATAGCTATATATATATATACAGGGGGTCAAAAAGTCGTGGATCAAACGCAAAAGGGGATAGATGAGGTCATCAGCTGCAAAAAATTGTTCTACGGGAGGTCTCTAAGGTCAACCCCTGCAGAGTTATAATTTATTTTGCGTTTTTATAAAAAAATACTTTTTTACTAATTCTTATTAAAACTGGAAAAAATCTACATCCTGTATCTTTTTCATAATATCCACTAGATTGGTACTGATGAGTTCTTGCGTTAGACATACTATTTATAGTTGTTTATTGAGTGTATTGAAGATAATATTAAATTATATGATATAAATTTTTTTCATATCATAACTTTTTGTTTACTTCGGACCCCACTGTGAAAAAAAAATTACTCTACCGAAAAGTGACCCTGTGTTACAAGTTTTGGCGCATTTCATAGAGATTCTGAAAAGGAATTACACATGACCATGAGTCGCTCTAAACTTAATTATTAAAGTATATTATTGTCCATAGATTAAAGAGTGGGAAGAGGAATACAAGAAGAAAGATATCGCATTGGGCAAGTCACATAGCGACACCATCTCATCTATACTTCAACAACAGTGAGTATTAACTGTTATTTAGAAGAGGGTAGATGCAAAAAAGTTGAGATCAAATTTGGTTCTTTGATTTTCTTATTTAGTGATTACGTCGACAATAATCTTCAACAACAGTGAGTATTAACTGTTATTTAGAAGAGGGTAGATGCAAAAAAGTTGAGATCAAATTTGGTTCTTTGATTTTCTTATTTAGTGATTACGTCGACAATAATCTTCAACAACAGTGAGTATTAACTGTTATTTAGAAGAGGGTAGATGCAAAAAAGTTGAGATCAAATTTGGTTCTTTGATTTTCTTATTTAGTGATTACGTCGACAATAATCTTCAACAACAGTGAGTATTAACTGTTATTTAGAAGAGGGTAGATGCAAAAAGTTGAGATCAAATTCGGTTCTTTGATTTTCTTATTTAGTGATTACGTCGACAATAATCTTCAACAACAGTGAGTATTAACTGTTATTTAGAAGAGGGTAGATGCAAAAAGTTGAGATCAAATTTGGTTCTTTGATTTTCTTATTTAGTGATTACGTCGACAATAATCTTCAACAACAGTGAGTATTAACTGTTATTTAGAAGAGGGTAGATGCAAAAAAGTTGAGATCAAATTTGGTTCTTTGATTTTCTTATTTAGTGATTACGTCGACAATAATCTTCAACAACAGTGAGTATTAACTGTTATTTAGAAGAGGGTAGATGCAAAAAGTTGAGATCAAATTTGGTTCTTTGATTTTCTTATTTAGTGATTACGTCGACAATAATCTTCAACAACAGTGAGTATTAACTGTTATTTAGAAGAGGGTAGATGCAAAAAAGTTGAGATCAAATTTGGTTCTTTGATTTTCTTATTTAGTGATTCGTCGACAATTATTATTAACTTTTTACACACATTGTCTATGCTTGAAAGCGAAATGCATTTTCGAGGTTTCCTACAAAAAGTTAATACGTTTATGTACTATTATTTTTGAGAGCTTTGCTTACTTTTGGTGACAAGAGGAAGGGGATAAATTGCAGTAAATCTGCTTACGTAATACTTGAATGGCCCCACACTGAATATATTAATTATTATAGAACAGTATTATGTAGACTCTTTTCATCACAGTTTAAAGCAGTGTTATCCATGGGCCCACGCCCCACATGTGGGCAATTTGATTGTCAAGGGGGGCAATTCGAAAATAGATTCGATGCTTTTGTTTGCTTTGAAAATTAACTTACTGTCTGTTTCCTAGTAATTTCTTAAAAATTTTAATATTAAAAATTATGGATGTTATATGGCGAGCATAAATATTTTAGAATGGCTAAAGTGGGGCAAAGGTGGTGAAACACATAAGACTGATTCAAATATATAATAATAATCGCTTTTTCTCGTTTCAGGACAAATCAAGTATCAAGTCTTATTGAAGAAACAAAACTATTGAAGGATCAGCTTGGAGTTGTTTGATGTTATATTTATTGAATATTGAGTGTAATTTGTTAATTTTGTATGTAAAATAAATGTCTGAGAATGAATAAAGATGAAATGGGTGTATTATTTAAATGTCCTATCATTTATTCGTTGAACAAATTATCCGCCATAATTTACTAATCTGTAATCTGTATCATAACAATCTCCAAATAAATAATTGGAAACAGTGGCGTAACAATAGGGTGGCAGGGCTGGCAAAATGCCAACTTCACATTCTATGAATGAATGTGATGTCTCCAATACGCATTGGGCTAGCGTGGGGACTACAGACCATTCCCTCTCGGCTAAGAGAGGAGGCCTATGGCCATTAGTGGGACATATACAATGTGTGTGAATACGCTGAAAATCTCGAAGTTTATTAAAATTAAACTGAGTACAACGTGACGATTTTTACTGATAGGGCCCCATCAAAAGAATTTGCTACGGGCCCCAGATGGTATAGTTACGCCACTGATGGAAACCTTATCAAAGGCTATCCTTCGTATGAATATGGTTTTTAGGCACATCCTAGATTGGTGAGATTATTTTGGCTTGCTTTTAAATCCAATGCAATGTATTCGTATCAGAGTAGAGGATCAAGAGGTAGACTGTTCAGAGTCCTATTCTATCCCTACTAAAATAATGCTGGCACAGACTCTTATTTTCTCTCTAGACTACGCTTATATTATATTGTGTCTTAGTGTATATCTACGTTTTCGAAGTGAAACTTCTTTAGTCCGATGAGAGTAAATTTTTTACGGATGCGTCACGAAGATGTGCAGCGTTTTTGTCCAGGAAAAGTGAGAGAGCGATTAAGACTGACTGAGAAGGGCGAATTACCCTATAGAAATTATATTTTTTAAATTAAAATTTAGTAAAGAGAATTTATGAAATATTAGTATTTTATATTTTGTGCAAAATAATTTATTGAAATCTCAAACTTTAGTGGGAAGCTGGTTCCACATAGTGGTGGTGCGCGGCAATGAGTGCTTTCAAAACATTCTCCATGGTAGGTAATTGCAGCAGAATGAACTTGCCAGTTCACTTCGTCACGGCATTCCAGGTACAGGCACGCCGTCTACCCGTCAGCGTCGTAACTCTCATACTCTTACCCATGTTTCATTATTTTTGAACCCCAAAACCCTAATATATTTTATTTCACTATTACTATTTTCTTGGCTCCAATAACCATCTAACCCTAGATCCAACTTTTTTCATTTCTCCTTCACCCTCACTGCCATTCCATTATAGGAAGCTCTACCTGTACCCGTGCAGACCTCGCAGACGCAGAGTACTTGTACGTTTAAGAGACATTTCACAATAATGTATCGATAAACCACTTTTAATGTAATTTATGCTAAAGTAGGTAAGATAAAGTTTTTTTAATTTAAATGTTTTACATTGTTATTGTGATGTAAATAAAGTGTTATTGTTTTTTAATATAGGGTAGTTAAATAAAATGCAATTTTTGTTTTATACTTTATTGATTCACATTTTATATCATTCAAACAATTATTATTTAATAACTCTTAATTGTATTTAATATTGTCAGTATAATGTACAACACTTGACAAAGGATTGTAAACTTAATTTAAAGCCTCATTTATTTTTAACTTAAGCATCGATCAAAGGCCCCCAAAACATTTTTGAGACACGACTTTCGTCGTCAGTATAAAAGAAGTCTTTTCCAAGATTCACAAATTCTTTAAGTGACAGCTTTCCATCCTGAAACAAATAGAATTTCAAGATAAATTAATATTCATCTTCCTTGATAACATTTCCATTAGATACTAAACAGTAATATTGCAAATAATGCTTAATGTGAAAATTCCCGCTTTATCTAACCCACTTTCCTAACAGCTTTAAGAACCAACGGACTACGGAGTTGACAAGTCTAAGTAGAATGTAGATAATATAACGTCATAATATGAATTTTGAGTTCACTGCTAAAACGTGGCCACTAATGACTCGATAATGGATGTAAATTGTCAGATATTATAAATAATAAACGAAACTTTTTCAAGACATGCGATTTGAGGAAAGTTTAAAAGTTGTTGTAAATATAAAAAAAACTTTTAGTAATAATTATTTAGAATCAAAATAGTATCAATATAATTAATACCTAAATTATATTATATTTGAGGTGCTAAAAACGCCTACTGTGTACTAAATTTGTTAACTTGTAAGTATTTAGAACGTAAATAAAAAACGTACATACTATGAAATATCTATTAATTCTGTTTGAACTGCCTGTATTATATAACTAGATTAAAAGAACTTTATTCTATTACAACATGATATTTTGTTAAAGCCAATTAGACTCTTAAATCGATTGTAAGTTTTGAAAATATTTCAATTCCTATTTAAAATATTTTACTGAACTTTAATTTAGATAAATACATTGAAAACTAATTCAAGCAGAACGTTAAGTTCTTTCAATTGTGTGAATAAATATTTTAATCCTTTCAGATAGCCATGGCATCAGAAAACAAAACTTTGACACAATTATCAGTATTGTTAACAAATGAAGAACTAAATAATGCACTAACAAAATGGTTTAGGGAACCCACAGAGTTTACTCATTGGGAGGTAATTATTAATAATTTAAACCAACATTTAAATTAAACGACATCAAAATCCATTGTCATTTGTGTAAAATGGGATAATTTTTATATATTTATGCAGCAGCAGACAATATAAAAAAGTAGTAGGTCCAATGTGGATTAGAATTAATAGAGAACAACAAAATTGGAAAAATTTAGAGGAGGCCTCTGTTAAAGGTCAAGCTGTAAATAAATAAATAATTGTTTGCCAATAGATAATAAGTATTGATAGGGTCTAAATATTATATTACTTTAGACACTATTACTTTATATTTAGCATAGTAAGCTAAACAGTGTAAATGGCTTTTCATTTAGTTTATTATCAGCAGCACATGCTTGCTTGATCGAGCTAATTTTCACTTGATTGCACTTTGTGATAAGTATTCATAATGTTTTCAGCATGTCGGAGAAATGGGAAAAGGTGATTCATACCTAAGTGATGTATATAGGATAAAAATACATGGAAATTCAGATGGCAACTCAAGACATGTACAACTTATTGTTAAGACAATCCCAAAAAACATATGCAGACGACTTACATTCCGTTCTCATGACTTCTTCATAAATGAAATTAATTTTTACCTAAATGTATTACCAGTTTTACTAAAATTCCAGTCTGATAAACAATTGACTGAACCATATGAAAATTACACAAATGTATTTCTAGCTCTCACAGATGGTATACATGATGTTATCTGTCTAGAAGATGTATCTTTGCAGAATTATGGCAACCCGATACGACAAGAAGGCATTGATTATGAGCATTGCCAATTAACAGTTAAAGTGCTTGCTAAATTCCATGCATTGTCTTTTGCTATGCGTGATCAAAAACCTGAAGAATTTGCCAAAATGAGCAATGTATTAACTGAGGTATATTATGATCCTAAATATTGGGATTGGTATGAAAAATTCTGGAAACGTCTTTGCAGTACAGCTATAGATGCAGTTGAGAGGGAATATCCAAACACCAATTATGTTGATAAAATTAAAGAATTCGCGATACCAGAGCGATATCAAGATATGATTAAAGCGGTACAAGATAAAACAAATAGTGTCATATCACACGGTGACTGCTGGACAGTTAATTTCTTGTATAAATATGAAAATAAACAACCCGTTGATGCAAAAATGATAGATTTTCAACTAACAAGGTGCGCTAGCCCAGTTTTGGACCTATCATTTGCAATATATGCATGCACTGACCTAAATTTAAGGGCAAAACACTATGATGACTTATTAAAAGATTATTATGAAGTATTATCAAAGCAGATAAGTGAAATGGGAAGTGACCCAAATAAAGTCTATCCTTGGAGCACATTTATGGAAGAAGTAAAGAAGTATTCATATTTTGGACTGGCATTTAGTTTTGAGTCCACACCATTTATAATTCTGGCACCTGAAGATGCTTTCAAGATGGATCATGTCACGGTAAATATTCTTTAATTTATCCAACCAATTTAAAAATATTTTATCTTCCCTAGCTTTAAACCCAGTCTTACAAACTTTGATAAATTATATGAAGCTAATCTGTAATAATATATTTTCTTTTGTTTAATTTAAACTTTAATTTAACCAGTTAAGCTTTGCAAGTTAAATTATGTAGACTTATAAAAAAAGGATATTTCAAAAAAAAAAAATCAGTCCGCATTCTTTATATTGAATCAGGGTGATGATAAAAGGAACATTGAAGAATTTTGGCCTGTTACTCCAATTAAGACAAAGGCCGGTAGACTGAGAGAAGCCAACAACATTGTTCACTGTGTTGACAAAGGTTTTATATAATGATATATAATTGCTATATTCCGAAAGGTAGGATTTATTTATGTATTAATTAATATTAGTACAGGTTAATTCATTATTAAGTAGCGGTTTAGCAGTGGCTTCACTTCACGACTTTCATCCCTGTGGTCGTAGGTTCGATCCCCGGCTGTGCAACAATGGACTTTCTTTCTATGTGCGCATTTAACATTCGCTCGAACGGTGAAGGAAAACATCGTGAGTTAACCGGCTTGTCTTAGACCCAAAAAGTCGATGGCGTCTCTCAGGAACAGGAGGCTGAGCTGAACTATTAGATTGACTAATTATCATGTAACAGACACAGAAATCTGAGGCCCAGACCTAAAAAGCTTGTTGCGCCACTGATTAATTTTTATTTTATTTTAGTATGAGTTATTGCATAAAATGCATGTATAAAATAAATATAACATTTCAATTATGACATCACTACCTATGTATGCTGTGTGTTTTAGATAAAATTAACTATTACAAAAAAATACTAGTACATAGTTCCTGTGATAAGTGTGCAATAAGCTTTTGATTTTTTATTTAATTACAGACATTAGATGTAAAGGACAAAACTTAAGGTATGTTGAATTAGGTTTTATTAAGAACTGAACATGACAATATCATTATCTTTACCATAGTACAAAAATACACTGTGACATTGACAATTGTGATTATAGAGACTAAGTTTAATAAGAGTTCTTGGCCATTTGTATGTAAGGTCTTTTTTTTTTCCTTTTTATATTTGTTATTAAGAAATAATATAGTAGTAAATAAATTGTACTTTTCTTGACAGTATTAACATTTAATAAATATTACCATAATATTATATTTGTATTATGCAATAATTTTTAACTAGAAGAAGAGGTTTTTTTGATATAAGAGGGGCAAACAGGCTTGAGGCTCATCTGATGTTAAGTGATACCGCCCCGCCGCTCATGGACACGCGACTCGCGAGTGCGTTGCCGGCCTTTTCCAATTGTTAAACGGCAACGCTCTTTTCTTGAAGGACCCTAAGTCGAATTGGTTCGGAAATACTTCAGTGGGCAGCTGGTTCCACATAGTGGTGGTTCGCAGCAAAAACACTCAGTTGTGGAACGACGGACGTACGCGTACGGGTGGTATGAAAATTAAATATAATTTTAACGAATAAGAGTAGGTACTGAACCTTGTTCTACAATTTTAAAAAAATATCCTCTGTACTTGATGGCTATTTGTATGGGGAATTTCTAGTAATTTTTTTATCCGTCTTGATCTGTCGTCGCCACCTACCGTGATCACTTATGTATGCCCTCTCTCTAGGCTTTATGGGTAAGATTTACAGACGAGAATTGGCACTTTTGGCATACCGAGGTTTCGACTCAAAATCTTATTCTTAATTATCACAAATTAACAATTATATAGTAACCTTTAGTTTAAAATTATGTAATGCACGATTTATGTATTTTCTACTAACAAATAAAGATTATTCGATAATTATTGTTATTATTTTACTCAATCTATGTTAAAACTCTACCAGATATCGACTCGTTAAGCCCAGGGCCTATAGTGGTTAAAACGGACCCCCAGCCCCCACTGAAAGCAATAGGCGATATTTAAAATTTAAAAAAATCTCATCAGAAGGTTGGAATCCCTAAGATCAATCAACCCATGTGCGATGCACATTTATCAAACGGTCTATGTATTTTTCGCATATGCGTCTATTATGGGGGACTTCCCCGTAATAGCCCAGAACCCCACAAATTCACTATCCGCCCATGCCTCTGCTAGATGTTGGCACTCCAGGGCGAGGACGCAACCCTACCAAACGAAGTGAAAGCTTTATTAAGCGCGGACAGTGACGGCCCGTGGAAAATTTTAAAACTTTTGCGAGGCAGTCATGAACAACAAAAAAGAGGGGGTAAAAGAGCTTTGTCCCGAAGCCCATCAGCGACAGGGAAAGAACCCGCAGCCCGACACGCTCACCAAATCCTCGCCACCTAAAAAGTGCCCAAGCTGCCATGCTTTCAAAAGGAGGGATGGATTACCATCCCCGTAAGTACTGGACCCTTCCCTAGCTATTAGCCCTGTCTGAGAAGGATACTTCCAGTGTCAAGTATCTTCACAAACTAATAATAGGCGTGTACGCCACCGTCGTATCGCAATCGTCGTCGTATCGGGAAGCGGATAAGGCTCTGCCGTTACCGCATCACTCCTAGAGCGATTGTTGGTGGCGCGTTGGTCGAACCGTGGAAGTGTATTCGCAATGCATTTCCCCAAGTAAAAGAAAACCAATCTTATATGCATAAACTTACTCCCGGTTCATATACCAACTGTATTTACTCCTAGCCGTAGATTTTAGTACATACCCCATTCGTATCGATGACAGCGAAGGCGACGGCCGCGTGTTCATTGCTCAGACCAAGACATTGGAAGAACAATTTGAACTCGTGTACAGATATGTACCCAGATTGATCCTTATCGACAGCCTATAACAATGAAATTAAATAATTAATTCTTTGATTGTGGTCAAAAACCGTTCGCCCAACTATAATAATTTACTATTAATCAGCGATTTACACTTAAATATATCCAAAAGCGTACAATAATCGTGTGTCAGCCACTAAAGACTGGTCAGAGCTACTTGTTTATCAATGTTTAGTAAAATTACAACATACAACATTTGTCCTTACCTTAAAAAGATAGGGCAACCACCGATGTGCGCGCTTCTTGAGCGTTTTGTCATTGAGGACGTGATGCATATCATCTAAATACTGCTCCACCGTCACATAGTTGTAAGGGTCTATTGCTCCCCATTGCTCCTCCCATGTCAACTGTGGATGGCAATAAAATTAATTCAGACATTATACTTTAAAAATATTCCCTTTTGTTTTAATTTAAAACCAGTAAAATAGTTTAAATCCCTAAATTATCATGTAACTTTATAGATGTTTCATTATTGTGTATTGTTCTAAAAGTGAACCGGCTTGTTTTGAAACATTAGGTATATACCTAGTATATAACTCGTGGTCAACAGTACAATATAACATGTAAATTGTGTATGACGCACGCGCAATATGAACATCAACATAATTTAGGTAAAAAGAATGTGTGTACCCACAGAAGAATTTCGCTGATATTATTATATTATATATATATTAGATATAAAATTCTCGTGTCACATTGTTCGTTCCCATACTCCTCCGAAAAATCTACCGATTCTTATGAAATTTTTTATGCATTTTCAGTAAGTCTGAGAATCGGCTTTTATCTATTTTTCAAATCCCAAAAAAAATATTTTTATTTTTAGTAAATTTTTTTTTATTTTTTTTTATACAGCATACAAAAATACACACAACCCCTAATTTTCACCCCTCTACGATCAACCCCTTATTTTTTCTTATAGGTAGTTATTTTTATTGAACTTAAAAAAAAGTTTCCTAGAAATAATATACATGGCAAAACAACGTTTGCCGGATAAGCTAGTAATAAAATAATCGAACCTTGATTATATGTGTGAATTCCTTCGCCTGCTTATCATCCAAGTTACCGAGCGACTTGAATCGTTCGGAAAAGAGAACGAAATCGTTGCATGAGATGAGTCCGTCTTTGTCTACGTCTAGAATGTTGTGAACTGTACGCATTTTGCGGCGCCAAAATTCTGACTGCAACAGAAAATTAATTCAATTAAGCACACACAGTTAACTGTTACAAAATTTGTATTTTTTTTAACTTCATTCGAAAATATAAATGGGCTTACGCCAAACCATTTGTAAAAAGATTTACGAAGGAAATCAATGAAACCTTCAAAAAGTTAGTTTCTAGAATTAATAGGAACAGCGACCTGCGACATACCAAATGTACAATAAAACACAAGACAAGGGTTATTTAAATTATAAGTACTTAGAAATGAGCGAGCAGTGTTCGGCTAGTGGCTTCAGCGTACGACCTTGAGGTTCGATCTCCGGCTGTGCACCAATGGATTTTCTTTGTATGTGCGGCATTTAACATTCTCTCAAACGGTGAAGGAAACCGACTTGTCTTAGACCTAAGTCGACGGCGTGTGTCAGGCACAGGAGGCTGATCACCTTCTTGCCTATTAGATTGAAAAAAATGATCATGAATCAGATTCAAAAATCTGAAACTCTTACTCTTTTTTACTTGGAAATGAGATCCGCCATTTTTAAATTGAAATGGCATTTTGTAAGTTGTTCGTTCTTAAACATGCCTAGAAAGTTCGTTAAGTTACTTCTAGACGATCGCTTGATATTATGTTTAATAAATTATTGTTGTTATATAAATAAAAAGGTAATATATTTATGGACGTGTAGTTTAATTAGAAGAACGTGACACAGGTCACAGACTAAAATTAATAGAAAAAGTAGCCATCTTGAAAGGTAGTGTTGCCAATTTAATGTATATATATTGTCTACAGACTATATCCAACAATTATTTTAATAAAACTAGATAATCACCCTCTCGAACCCCTTGCTCTCAGTATCGGAGTCTGAGTCACTATCGTTGTCCTGTTTCCTTCTATCCTCTTCTGGTCTACCATATTGCTTGCTGTAGCTCCGAAGACCTCTTATACGCTCAGCATCAACGTCCTTCGCGTCTTGGAATGTTTGTAAGTAGCACACCGTTCCATTGCAGGTGGATTGAGTGTGAAGTGGCTGTGGGCGGAAACGAAAAAAAAATTTACTTTTATAAATTTGAAATTATTAGAAACATCAGGCTTGAAGGAAGTATTTATTAGAAACGGTCAGAATCTATTTGAAAATGTTTTTTAACCTACCTCTTTTACCGAATCAAAAGTAGTGCCAAGGTTTTCTTGCATCAAAAAGTCGATATATTCCTAACGCTATTATGAAATGATTTCCTCACACCATAAGCGTAACTATTACGAAACTGTCATCATATGAGATATTTAAATAATCCGACAAAATAATATAATATCAGATTTTAATGTTTTTATATTATTTACTTACTAGACAGCTATTAGCAAAATCTTTGTAGTGTTTTACGTCAACTTTAGATGCTCACTTGAGTATCTTTAACAGAATTAACTTTAAAGACATTTTGTATTTTTAATTTATTTTTTTCTTTAATTTTATTTTTCCCACGCGTCGATAAATTGTTAGGGTTTTTACGAATATAATTAAATACTCCTTTTCATGGATTAAACTGATAAAATTGGGTGTCGGAAATTAAATACATTTTACTTTTAAAACTTTTCGATTTCCATATATGTACCATTTTTATTTTAACATATGTAAGAACCCATGTGTGAATTAATAAAGAAATTAATTATATTAATGCATTATTGTAGGTATGTAAAATATTGTCAGAACCTAATAACAAAAAAATTATATTGTGTCGCAGGGTTATTTACACTCACTTGTTGCACCGAAGGCCGTAGGGTTCTTACGTAACGCGGTCAATAACCTTATTAGACATAAGCGTGGATGTAACCCAAGCAACTATTACAAAATATTGACTAGAATTTTCGACTTCAGAAGGTTCCAAATTAAAATTACTATTACGGCACACAAGTATGTCTGTATGAAAGTGTTATACCGAAAAAAAAGTGCAGTAACATAAATTTAAGTCTAAAATTGTCATATTTATTCATTATTAATTATTATTATTATCTATTACTATGTAGGTTAAGAATATTGTAAATACTTGCGTGTCATTGTACGCTTCAAAAACTCAAAAAGTTCTGCACTTATCAAGCTGAAATTAGATTTTACTATCATTTTTTATTTTGTTTTTTTAATTTTTCTTCTCCACAAGTATTGCAAAATTAAACTTATATGAAATGTTTTCTTTGTTTTGCTTCTCATTTCTCAACCATTCAATCACAATGTGCCACAGCGAAGCGTGGCAGGGAACAGCTAGTATAGTATAATTTATAATAAGGTCAGTTAATATAAATTAACAACGTCCTAGAAATGTCATATTGTGATTTCATATTATATATAGTGAAACTATACAATTTAATAATCATAACTAAATACGATGCATCGCAACCAATTCATTCAATTTAAAATCTGTGTAGAGACAGGTCGACCTGAATTTTGCAAATTATCCTTCAACATTTTAAATTGGTTTATTGGACACAATTTGGGGTCAATCCATCCTGTTGCAACGCAATTTGTTAAGAAACAATATGTCTATTTTTACCACAATGAGACATGAATGTAACTATAGAAAATTGTTGGCCCTTCGACCTTCGCATATAAAAATTGTGCGACATAACAAATCCATTGATTTGATCCAGACACGCGCGTAGTGTCTGAACGCAAGGTCATTTGAAGTAAATAAACAAAAACATACCGTTAATGTACCGACTTTATTTTTGTTGTTCCGGAAATGTAATATGTAAATCATGAATCGATAAATTGCACGGTGGAGAAAAATAAGTTGTTCTTATTATACGACATTTATTTATCCTGGAATCTAAACCAAGAAGGAAATCTAATTCAGTACTTGACTTGTCCTAGAGTCCCTTATCTAGCTTTTGCTACAACTGTGTAAGAACTTGGTTCGTAAAATTATGCCAATACAAACTATGGGCACACACAAATTCCCAGCGAAACAATTATAACGGATAATTGATTTCGGCTTGAAAAGCTTTGAAATAAGCCTTGCTAAGAATCAAAATGGGAAACCTACATAAGGCCAATAATAAGTCATTAATATTTATTACAATAGATAATATTATAAAACTCATTTTGTTTATTTATTTACTTGTCTCGTAACCTATTTTTAATTATATTTATAAACAAAAACTTTAACTTTGCCACAATACCACTTAACGCATGAACAGTAGAAGCTACATTCCTGTGCATACGAAATTCATAATAACCCTTGATAAGAGGTTATCGGTGAAAAAAATTAACTGTCGATGGGCAAAGGTCAATAACCAGGAGTCTAAATGTCTAGTAATGTTCCTATAAAGTCCTATTTGTCCTGATTTTTTTTAGATAAAACTAAACGTGTATACCTAGAGATTTGAGTTAACATTTAAATTTTAGTTAAATTGTTTTTCTAAACTAATAATGTAATGTATTACATACACATAGATGTGCTCACTAAGAAAGCGCCGGCTGAAGCCACTTTTATTAAGGTACTAGTAGACTCGGCCAAGCGTTGCTGTGGCTAATATTTTTGTTATATTACATAGTAGTAAACTATTCAAGAGAAACGGCAGGAGAACACCAATCCATCATGCTTTTTTGGTGGTTATGCCATTAAATTGTAGCTAATGTGAAACGTTGGTACTTTCAACACATCGCCATCTGTTAGAATTGTGACTGTCAAATAATTTGCAATAAAATAATATTTCGGGTATAACTTAAGATGTAAGCTATCCTATCTTTTAAGTTAGATCAAACTGCACACGGTGTGCAAATTTCATTGAAATCGGTTTAGTAGTTAAGGCGTCCATAGCGGACAAACAACGTGACGCGTAATTTATATACATTAAGATTAAGATTACAAAATCTAAAACTATACAATTTAACTACAGATATAAACGTTATGCAACAATTATTGTTTGTTTAAAAAACATAGACACAAGAGTCAATAAGGGTGAGATCTATAGTGCGCACTTAGACTTTGCTCTGACTTAACTATCGAGCTAAGACACAGTCGGTATTTATAGAGCAAACTACGAATCTCTCCCTAGTGTTGGCTTAGCTTAATCTCAAGTCCACGAAATCGACGACTTACCAAAAACTTTGACTATAAGCCTAACAAAAATAATGGCCCAAAATTTGCTTTACCATCATATCTTTTACTGGACTTTTTATTTTTGTCGGTTTTTAATGAACGGTGTTGCCATTTTGTATCGGAGTTCCATAGACTTTGGGAAAAATAGAATTTGAATTCAAAGAAATTATAAATGATCTTGATAAATACCTATGAAATGCATGAAATAAAATAATTACACATTATTATGGTATTTATTGTTGTTTATTTATATTATTTATGTAATTGTTCAAACCCCATTTTTGAGAAATCTTAAAAATAACTGGTGTGATTTTGTATGTCACCTGGCAGCCCTGGCAATTGGCATATTATAGTGACAACGAAATTCAAACTATAACCTAACCAAAACATTGCGATCCGTTCTACGTAATAAAATTATTGTCATCTTTAAATAATTAATACATTTTCTAAAGGTTACTCGTGAATTTCTAGTTATTGCAATAATAAAATAAATGAATACATAAATAACAATAAATTGAAGATATATGTGTACCGTTTTAGATTTTTAAATATTTGTTATTGTTAACTTTTTTTAAAGGATAATAAACAAAGTATTGCATGAAATGAAACATCAATTTGTATTTTGACATTTTCTGTCTTAGCTTGGGCTTAGCTTAATCTCACCGTTAAAATGTCTATAAATACGAAATCATAGTTTAACCTTAGTGTACACTAAGCAAAGTTTTTCGTAAGGTAAGTCTGAGCAAAGTCCAAGTGCGCACTATAGATCTCACCCTAAGTCTCGAAGAAAGTTCGATAAGGAAGCTAGCCTTGAAACTAAAAATATCTTTAACCCTACGCATCTTTTAGCTTCAGGCCCAAGGCTACATGTAGGGCTGCTGCGATTACAATGTTTATTTACTAACAAACTTTACGTTACTAGGTACAACACGAAAATCCTTCATATTGAAGCCTAGTCAGACGAATTATTGGTATATATAAGTTTAATTACTGACGCATAAGATTGTTTATAGACTGTCAATTAAAATAGTATGTGATTTTCTGACAACAGGCTAAGTTTTGCTAGTAAAGTAGTTTCTTACTCCCGCAAAGCACATTAAAACATATGATAATTTTACAAAGGTCATTTACCTTGCTACGACTAGATGCACTTGTGGTTAAAACAGCAGCTGCTCGTTCCAAATTTGAAATGCCCATTCGGAACCCAAGTCTTGATACGAGTACAGCCATTGCAACACAAAACACTGTTAAATAGGATAAAATATAACACACGTAGGTACGCGTAAGTACTGGCACCCTTCTCGCACTAGACTCGCTACACGTTTGAAAATCGAATGTGCAGTCAAGTGGTTTTGTTTAATAGACCTTTGAGCGAGAGGGACGGGTACACTATCCATGCACATGGGCAGATACCATTTGCATTGCCGTAGACATGCCTATCAGTAGCAGGTAGAGCGTGTTACATTTTGCTAGAATTTCTTTCCATAATGACGCGCTTGTATAATATACAACGTAATATGAAAATATACATATATTCTATATTATAGAATATATCTATATTATAGAATATATCTATATTATAGAATATATGTATATTTTCATATTACGTTGTTGTTACCGATGAAGAATATTTTTTATATATAAGGTATATAATAGCGACATAGCGTAATGTTTGTTAATTTATACTTTTATAAATAACTTTACGAACCCTTATGAACGTAGCGACTTTTTAAAATATTTAGTACTTTTTAAAAACGGATGTTTTGATGTTAGTCCAAATTTCAAGTTTACTTCATTAATTTCATAAATATACAATATACATATATCCTTTTGGAAGCTTTTACTTTTTTTAGGTTGTAACGAATAAACCCAATATAACAGGACCGTCTTCAAAAAGATATTACTATTAGAATGCTACATTTTCTGTTCAAAGCCGTGAAAGGCCGCTAGTATTATATAAGAGGCAACTGCGTGCACATAATCACTATTGAAAAAAACCATAACCAACGAACTCGGTTATAATTTTAATATTGTTGAAATTGCATCAGGGTTGCACTCCCCGCAAAGTTTGAAAAAAACCTGTCTAGGAATCTGGAAATCATTGTTATAATTTAGTTCCTAATACCAAAGTACAAAGCTCACTTTTAAATACATCTTACGATGCATCGGCCACGACCATTTGTCGTATTTTAACTGGTTTACGTCTTATAAACAAAACTGAGTGTTATATTTAGGTAAATAAGGGTTCTTTTCAAACAAATGAACAACAATTCCAGGCCAATTTTGATAGAAACAACTTTGATTAGTGATTACTATTTGGTATCATCCATTGTGTCACGTAGGCCTTATATTTGTTAGCCAATTAGAGAATTAATATAGGTTATATCATTAGATAGTTACAATTTACTAATCATTGATTCTGAACTTGTTTTGCCGTATTTACTAATTACTTCACATGATAGAACGCACGTAGGCATTTTTTGTTTACAAAAAAAGGTTAATTTTTTTGTTTACGACTAAGGGCGCTACGCATTTTGATACAATAACGAACTTAAAAACCAGTCTGAGTATTGTTCCGCTTTGTTTACCTGCCTTAAGAAGTACCTGCTTCCTGTTTTTTACCAAATAACTAGAATAATATATTATATTAAAACGTACATGTTTAAAAAAGTTTTTTATCCGAAAACATCCTTTTTTAGCACCTAAAGTAATACCGCCGACCATGGACACACACTGCCAGAAGGGTCGCAAGGTCGCCTTTTAGGAATTTGTACACTCATCTTGAAGGAACTTAAGTCGAATTGGTTCGGAAATACTTCAGTGGGCAGCTGGTTCCACATAGGGGCAAAGTGCGTTAAAAAACGATCAGTTGTGTAACGACGGACGTCGAGGTGATAAGGGTGGAATTTCGTATTCTGCCTAGATGAAGCTCAACTGCAGCTATTAATCCGCAAAACTCGTCCCTACACTCTCCATAGTAAATGCGGTATAGGAGACCCCACATCTACCCAACGCCAAGGGATCAAGCTGCTCGGAAAGTGACGTAGTCGACGATTCGAATTCAGAAGCCTGAAGGCAACAGCATGGCACTCCCACTAGTAATTTTTAGACAGATTGCGCTCGTGAAATAACCTCTGTCACGGGTTATTTCACTAGTGGGCAATGGGGTCGTCCCGCCCGCTGCCAAAAAAATCCTTGTGTTCATCTGACTCGAGTTGTATAATTGAAATAAAACCCACAAAATAAATAAACATATTTATTCATATGGAATATAAAAATTATTTCCTTATAAAACGGACATCTCACACACTTCGTTTAGTGACCATGACCTAGGTTTCATGTAGACAATCATACACTTGTGGCTGGCAATAAACATATAATTTGTAAACTCGCTTTGTTAGCGTTATTTAAATTTTAAATAAAAAATGCCTTTGTTAATTATGAATTTATTTCATATCAGGTCCTTCGTAGTTTAGTGGTACAGGGCCTGAGATCCAATTCCCAGCGAAACATTACTTCGGGTTAAAAGGCAAAAAAGCCTGATTAACAAAATTAACGCATAAATCGTCATAACAATGTTATGATATAATAATAAAAATTAATTTAATGATATAATCTGTTATTAAGATACGAGAAACAAGAATACAGGAAAGGTATATAATTCTCAAATACAATGTGTACAAAAAGCCTAGATGCAATGGAATTATCCTATAATTACCAAAACAGACAGATTCTATACATCTAAAACTATTGAATGTTTTGCCCTTATAAATATCGAGTTGTTTTAAATATAGATAAACATGAGAAACATCCAGCTGTTTTCGAAACATAATTTTTAAGAGACTTCTAAAAACTCAGAAGAATGTGAATTGATTTTTTAATACATTTCTAGACATGTAATATGGACATGGCATGGTCATTATAGATATTGTTCTACTTAAAGTGTATTTTTGCCAAAACTTCACCCAAATCTAGCCACCTTACACTACACTACACTCACGAGATATATCATTGAGAAAATTACTTTTATTCATATAGCTGCATATTTAACTTTATTGCCATGATGATAACATGTCTAAACTCTCATATGCACTAGTCTGACCTTAAATAAATATAATAATTCATATTTCAGTAAACAAAATTTGATTTCATTTGATTAAAGATTTCCATTGATCTTACTATAATTTACCTATAGCTACAAATGCCATGCCAAAACCTTTTAATACATAAAATAAAATTTATAGTTTTTATGTAATATTTACCTCATAATAATTCTTAGGATTACAAATATAACTGTTTAAGCTTTCTTATATTCAATTCTTTCTACTTTCACTTCGTCACCTAGCAGTTTATACACATATGTTACAACAGTTGAGCTAGTGATGTCCATTAACACGAATGATGGTGTGGCATTTCTGAAATAAAAATAATGGATTTATTGCAGTATATCGAAAATATTGACAGAACATTCCAGGTTACAGACACTCCTATTATATTACTATTTACCGTAACTACAGTAAAAAGAAACAAAATAAAAAATGTGTACATACAAAAATGTACAAAAGTGACAATAGTAATAATAATAAACTACCTACATATTATTTCTATAAAACAAGATGAGACTTATTGTCAGCTTTTTAAATAAAAAAATCTTAACATTGGTAAAAGTTAGAACAACCTTAAAAACAATACACAAGTAATTAAATATATTCAGAAAAAACATTGTGCAACTACTGCAGACAAGATTTATTATAAGGATATTATTCTAGTTTCAGATAATCAAAATTATAGACATTAGTTTTTTATTTAAACAACAGATCATAATATAAAGGCACTACATACTAGACAGTAGTACAAAAGGTACATGCTTATATTAAAATTTGTTTACCTGAACATAGGATTGTATGCACCAGTTGCTGAGCCAGGGTTTATATAAAACTTATTTTCATGTTCATAAGCCTCAAACCGGTGGGTATGACCTGAGATTAATATATCTACATCTAGCTGACGCTGTATTAGAGCTAAAGATTCTTCATCTCCCCATGGCACAACTTGATGACCATGAATAAGACCAATTCGGAACTGACCAACTGTTATAACTTTTTGCTCTGGATATGTGGTGTTCTGGAATAGTATGAAGATTATCAGAAAGTTATATTCCCTAATGCCTATAGCAAATAAATTATTGCAAAGTAGCCTGTATGAGTTAACATCCAGCCAATTTTCAAAAGGTTCTATACATATTTATTACACTTACCTCATCAAAATCACCTCTAACAACATGTACATCACTGGCAAGTGTTTTTAAATAGTCATATGACTCTTTAGTACATAGATTACCAGTGCAGAGAATGTGTTGTATACGACCAGGCAACAACAGCTTCTTAAATTTGGCAGGTAAGCTACTGCAACGGTGTGGAATATGCAAATCACCAAGGACTAATACCAACTGAAATGTTAGAGTTAGTTTTTATAAACATCTATTTACATTTTGAAGCTATAAAGAAAGATGATGTGCTCTCAGAACTGATTTAATTAAACTAGGCTTCAACTTCTGCAAAATTATTGACAAACTTATAAACGTCTTACCACTTAATAGCTTACCATAATGTTTATTTAAGTGCTTTTTATATAATACGTTAACAATTTGTGTTTAATTTAATGTCCAAATGAAATATTAAATTATACTCAATAATTAAAATGGAATATTAACTAGAAAAAACTCCCACAAAAATTATTTAATTATTTTGGTATCCGGCTTCCGTCAAAAGTTGACTTATGACTCTGGTCCTGAGAATTGTCTAAATTCTGACAGTTGACAAACTAGGAAAAGAAAAACATTAAATAGCATTTTTGTAACAAAACTATTTTAAACCCGTTTTGGTGTTTTGAGTTTTCATATCGCAATAATAACGATTTTTATATATCGATATGAACAACATTGTTTGAACGATGCTTGTATCCAGCTGTAACTCATTTATATCTATTATCTATATATTTTTGCAATAGTGCAAAATTGTTCTCTATTTTAAATTTTTAACTAAACTAATCAATTGAATAAATAAACTGAATCAATATAAAATGCAAAACTTTGTATCAATGGTGCTTCTTTTCATAATACGCAGTTCCTCAACTCTCAAGTTAATTATTAAATGTAAAAATAAATTCAAAGACAATCTCAGTCTTCCTGATTGCCGCTCTTCCTTCAAAATTCAGTAAAAAAGTGCTTCATCTATTTTGTTTTCGTTATTGAAATCACCCAGCTGATTTCGATATAATTTGCATTTTTGAAAGATTTCTTTTCACCGATAACGAATCTTTTTTGTATGATTGTTTAATTATCTGTGCTGAGTTTTATGTTTTTCAGTAGTCTATGCGATATATTTTGCTCTTCTTTAATCTCACGTCACTTCTTTCTTTACTCTCTGATTTAGAAATAATTTCATGGTGTTGTGGGTGACACATATACGTAGAAATTTTTAGTGTAAGAAGCACATTGGCACCAACTGTTGGGAAATGGAATCAATGGAATATGAGCTCGCTAGAAACCTCACTCTATTATTCTTCGTGGAGCGCCTGCTCGATAAAGGCGAGCCGAGAACGTTGCACGATCTTTCCTGTCAGTTTGGTGCCAAGGGATTTACTAAAGAGATGCGCCAGATCGCTGGTGGGTCACAGTCGGGATTAAAGAAATTCCTCACGCAATACCCAGCGTTGTTCAGCATAGACGGGGACTATGTTGATATCAACACATTTCAGAGGTGCCCCGCCGGTGCTGGTGCCTCCTCTAACAACGACTACATCGAGGAAGCTAAAGAATACTTCGCTGGCAAAATGGTGCAGTATGGCGAAGGAACCGAGGTGCCAATTAAAAGTCTTTTGGGACACAGGAGCCAGGCCTCACCACAGGTACGACACATCTCCGGCCAACGCATTAAAGAGTTCAAAGAATTCCTTATGAAGCACCCCGACATATTTCAAATAATTGATGATAATGTTGTTCTAGTCAGTGATAATCATAGGAGAGAAAATGCACATAGTAACAATGAACAGTTTCACAATTTACCCGTTGCTAACATAAACACAGATACAGCACAACAATTGTTAGACTATGTAGCTCAATGTATTGAAGCTAAGGGGCCTGTTATGGTGGATCAGCTATTTCATTTGATTGTGTCAAGATTCCCTCAAGAGTACTGGTATCAAATGTTTAAAACTCCAGCAGATTTGACTGCTTTCTTAAAATTATTCTCTGATAGTTTCCATGTACAATCAAATCTTGTCACATTGATAAGCAAACCAAAAATACCTGTTATGTATCTCAATGCAAAACCTAAAGTTAAGACTGAAACACCAAAGCCTGTTGAGGAAAAAGAACTACCACCCTCCCCACTTCCTCCAATTGTACCTAGCCCTACTCCGTCAGATGGTAAAAGAAGTCCTGCTAATAGAATACTCAGTCCTGTAGAATCTCCCCGAGCTACCCAAGCAAATATTGCTAATCAAACACTAAAGCAAAGGATAAATTCAATTGTTATTAAAAATCTGGCTGAGAATATGGTCAGAGACAGGGTGAATAATCATTTAAATGCTCGGTGCTCAGAAGAATTAAATGGGGTTAATGTGCGGAACAATTTAGTGGGAGAAGCATGGAGACAAAAGGTGCTACAAAGTACAACTGTAATAGCAAGTGCTCGAGAAAGTGCTACATTAATAGATAGTATAATGAATGCAAAACGTACTGGAAAAAGTATAGTTTCATTTGATTGTGAAGGAATAAATTTGGGTCTTAAAGGTGTTTTGACATTATGTCAAATTGCTACTATGAATGGAGAAGTATACATTTTAGATATTTTGGCTTGTCCGAATATGGTAATTGAAGGTAAAATAAAGGACTTGTTAGAAAGTGAAAATGTCATTAAAATTATACATGATTGTAGGAATGACTCAGTTAATTTGCACAATCAGTTTGAAATTACTTTGAAGAATGTATTTGATACACAAGCAGGTCATGCAGTACTTCAGTTACAGCATCAAAATGTACCCGTTTACAAAGTAAAAAATTTGAGTCTCAATGCTCTTTGTGAGCTATATAACGCACCAATGAATCCAATGAAGGAGCAATTAAAAAATGTTTACAGAAGAGACCAAAGATATTGGGCAAGGAGACCATTAACGAAAGACATGATTATCTATGCCGCCTCTGATGTTTTGTCTTTAGTAAATCCTGCTATTTACACCTTTATGTCAAGCAATATTAAATCTGAAAATCAACAGTTATTTGAGGAGTTAAGCAATGAGCAAGTATTTATGCACATTCAGCCAACAGAGGTAAAATTACGCAAGAGACAAAGAAAAATTAACACAGAAGTTGAAGAATTAAAACAAAAGTTAGCTGAGACTACAAAAAATATTGTACTCAGCAACAGGGAAATCCGATTATTAAGATATTTAGAGTTAACAGAAGAGGAGAAAGAAAAGCTTAAGGGTTGTCATAAGATATCAAAAAAGCTGGAGAAACTAGAGGCTATTGGGCAAGATAAGGACAGTGATTCTGATGATGATGATAAAGAAAATGAAATGCAGAGCTTAGAATCAAACCCTTCTGACTCAATGTCATCTCCACACTCACAGCCTCCTAGCCTCACAGAATCTATGCAATTGATGGATGAAATATTGTCAGATGTAAATATGGACAGAGTAGAAAAAATTAACCGTTTAGAGGCAATTTTATCAGCAGTCGCTCCCTTAAGCGGTGAGTTGGAAGATAAATTTTCTCAAACAATGGAACAGACACTGCCACTGCTCAAGAATAAAGATTGGTCAAATCTGAGCCAAATTTTGAACTTAGGAGACGAAGGAAAGAATTGTTGCTGCAAGTGTCATAACTCTACTGACAATAAAGTTGAGGAGATCAAGAAGGCAGAAGTCGGATCCCAGACCCTAAGCACAGGTGATATTGTGATCACCAGAATTCATTTTAGAGAAGAGGACAAATTGAACGAAAGGACAATAGACGCCACGCCCTTCAGTAAGAGAGTAGGTATCAACATGTCTTGATCTTCTCGCAACCAAACTTCCATTTTCTGAGTGCCACTATTAATTTCGATACTCCCTGTTTGTGATCAATTCAGTTTATACGTAGTTTAAGTTATTGCCGTTATATCGGATGTTTTTACGTTAGTTTAACGGGTATACGGTGTATTTGTTCAAGATTGAATAAATTAAACATTGATGAGAGTATGGTCGCCTACGCCGTGTTCATTTGAGCGAGGACGTGCGTGTATACTCGAATAAATGCAATGGCTACGCGCATAATACGGCTACTTAATTCCTTCGATTGGAATTATCAGTATCTGCTGTTGTTTCTAGTAGAGTTAATATTTATGTTATTGCCTAGTTAGCAATTCGAACTTGTATGTGATAGAATTTGGCCTTGGATTTTTTCTCGATCTGTGTTGACTTGTAAATAAGATAACTACGATATATTTTAGTCTAATCTTGTCAAATTCCTAACGGTCAAGCATTTTGTAAGGTTACATTTTGGTGCATTGTTTTTATCACTACAATTCACTTTATAGCTACTGAATAAAATGGCAATAATAGTTAAGTATAAAATAAGATTTTGTTCAAATATTTAACTAAATATTATTAGATATAGATGTTAGTTTTAAGAAATACTGAAAATGTAGTTGTGGTGCTTGGATAACGAATATGAATCGTTGAAAGGTTTTATACACATAGGAATATTTGAGGGGAGTTTTCAAGAAATACCTAATTTTGTGCCTTTATATCATATCCAAGGATTTACATACTTTATAAAATGGTAGCTAAATCAATTTAAGTTATTAATTTGTAAAACAGTTTGGTCTCGGGTTCGAACAATCTGTGTTTGTTAATAAAATACCCGCCTTCCACGGTTTATGGAACCCAAAAGTATTTAATTCAAATTTGTATTGAACTTAGTACTAAGCATGTTAAATTCTGTCGAATAGTTTATTTTTGTGTTACACAAAGTAAATATTAGTGATTATATTACGCTTTACTTACTAGTTTGCTTGTATTTATTAACCTAATAGGTTGACACTTCAGTATTCTGATTTGTATTTCCATTTTATATTAATCATGCAGTATTTATAATTAGCAAGTTCTCACTGTTTTGGCAACTTAGCAATATTTTTGTGCCTTAGTTTTCACTTTAGTAGAATCGTCAAAATTTAAAAGTGCCACTTAATTTTATTATAAGTAGCATTTGTTTTAGTCAAATTAAGGTTCTTACCTATTAAATTGCTAACTTATAGAAGTTTATTTAACGCGTTTATGTTAATGTATTTCAATAAAGTTTTTTAAAAGATTGTAATATTTTCATTTCTACCTGACGCATTTTTTTTTAAACTTTGTAGTACATTTACCATCGCAAGAAGCAAGCAAGACATAGGGTCTTTAAATTTAGAAATTGTAATGGGCTTACTAAGAAATTTTTCAAGGATTGAATTGCTACAAGGGGCTCACTATCGTAATTTTATTGCCTAACAATTTTAAATTTGGATCCCATATACGATATATGAAGAGTTCATAGACCGTTTGTGTTTAATAGTGTATATTAGACCGAGTACTAGCGACAGCATTGTAATTGATGATTAAAACAGTAAGTACGTAATTTATTAATCCGAGCATTGACGTCGGTACCTACAGTATACTAGATATCTCAATAAACAGAAACTATATTCTAGAACATGTGAAGTCACGGATAGTAACTATGTGTAGGTAAGCCAATTTTGTGTATAATATTGCGGCGTTCAGTGAGACGTTTTAGCACTTGTTAGGTTTCTTATAGTCTTAATTAGAATAAAAAGCTTATTATATTATGTAATTTTAATTATCTACTTATTTCCCGCATCGTTGATATTCGTTGCTTACATTATATCTAATCGAATAAAAATGTAATTTAGATGTTTTTAGGTAAATTTGTAGGAAAATGTCAATGTCGGTACGATTTTATATAAAACAGTTCTGACTGATGAACCAGAAAAGTACCTTAGTCCATATATGTACGTAAAAGTATTAAGTCGCTACTAAGAAATGGTAAATGTTGCATAGTAAATTTGTTATTATTCTCAATAAAGAAAATTCTTCTGCAACTGTTTTTTGTGAGGAAGACGAAAGAAGAATTGTGACAATTAATAAAAGCGTTTAAGAATTTTTTTTAAAAGTAAATTGTGACGAATTAATGTGTTTTTTAAATCTTAAACGTATTTTCTTATGAAACATTGTTTTATAAATATTTTTTATTTTATGCAAAACATACATGTATATTATAATCTAACAGGAAATGCAACTCTGTGAAAGTTTCCTATGTACCTAAATAAATATTATTATGAAGTAGTTACTCCACATCGCACGCGGCTCGCATTGTAATTGAGAAATTAAAATATAATTAACATACTTCTCATTCATTATGTCTCCTGACGAGTCATCGATATAACCTACCTACTACCGCCGTCAAATGTAAAAATTGTTGCTAATTTCTGCAAGTGAAACTAAATGTTTAATTTGTATTGTAGTACTAGAATAAAAATTATATCCTATTTATGTAATATCTGCCCTTTCCAATGGCATTGTCTGTGTGGCTCAACCGTAAAGGGTTTGATATCAAAATGTAATACAAACCGAAAACAATATACTTGAGTGGCATACTAACCAATTGGAAATATGTATGTACTTTAATTCAGTCATTCAAAATTAACGGGCTTCTGTTAAATCTTTTGTTTCAAATCATTCTCTATTAAAACGTGCAATACAAACAATATTCTGTGATCATTGTAGTGTCAACTGTCTTTGTCAGTTTACAGATGGTACAGTCATAGATTTAATATTCAAATTTCTAACTGCCTTTGTTTTTAAAAATGCAATCTTGTTAAAAACAAATATATTCAAGAAAACTTATGAAATTCCTTATACTTTGTATGGTAATTTATAAGTTACAGTTATTTAAGTATAAACTTTATTAAAGATGGAAGACTTCGACATATTTGATGAAAATGAATTTGAGCCACCTGTTTATAAAAAAATTCTGAATGAATTTATGGAAAGTATGCCGCCGATGCCATGTAGTGCAAATTATCAGAGTAAGTACTTTTTATTAATATTGCAAATGTGTTAGGCCTAATCCCTAATCTGTGTCATATCATACAAGGGCTAGGTCTCCCATGAAAAATATATTGTTAAAAGTAAAAGGTCTAAATTTTTTTTAATTATTAACCTTTCGTTAAATTACTTTAAATTCTTGAACACTATAAAATTATTGTGATATATTATCATCAGGTGGACGAAGACTTAATGGTGAAGAGTGTTTAGTAGAAAATAAGGAAGATTATGGATTTAATTTTAGTGAATCTGTATCAGCTGCTGTTAGGAGTTTAGCTGTTTATAGGGATGACCAACAAAATGTCACAAGTGCAGACCCAGGTAACATATATAAATTTTAAAAGAAGATAATAAATTTTACTTACTGAAGTTTTTGGACAAGAAAGCTAATAAGTATAAAAATTGCTTCCTTTATATTTGTTATCTCTGATGAATGAACATCAATTATTTTTTATAATTTAGTTGCCTCAAAGTCTGCATTGATTGCAGTTCAAATGCTATTTTTGTTATATGAGTATTTTTTTATGGTTCTTAATGTTCAATGTTTCAGGAATTGATGCCTTAAAGTTAATGCACCTCTTTACAAAGTCAAGTCATAAAATAAGTCCAACACCTTTGTAAGTAACTTTAAAGTATTAAAAGTTTATATTTGCATATAGAAGGATCTTTGCTTGTTTTAAGTGATGGATATAAAGTGCTGGTAGTCTGTACCTCGAAATAGATTCTGTCAAATTCAATATATTGTATATTTTCCAGAAAAAAAGAAGACAAATATTTAGAAGATTTTTTAAAAGATGTGGCATGCGAGAGTCATGTGTCTTCAATGAAAGATGATCCAGATATGCCCTTTCATAAAAAATATATTAGATTTGGTACTCATAATAATGTTAAGAATTTACTTATGATTTTGGATGAATTACCTAAAGGTAATGTTTGATTTTGAATGCATTATTTATAGATCCTGAGTTGATTTCTTTTATTACAGTTTATGTTTACAGTGTTATATAGGCTTTATAAGTTGTGCCACAAATAGCCAAAACTTGTTTGCTATCTGTCTAGTGTTCCTTTGTAAGTAAATGAGACTAATAGTGTGAATAACCCTAAGAATATACTAGTCTGATTAATATTTGCAAAGAGAAAAATACTAATTTGTGCAATATAATTTGGGCTCCACTGTCCAAATGATATTATTTATTAAAAAATCTAGATGCTGGAAAAAAGTTTGATGTACAGCAGAATTTTTATTTTCAGAATGGACTATTATACAGCTAACCTCCCGGTACAACCCAGAGGAGAATGTAAAACCATTTGATGAGTTTAAAACTGATATTAGTTCTATATTTATAACAATGTTTACAAATCATTATGTCGACAAACCAATGAGTGTTTTAATACCAGCGAATATTACTAAAGGTAATGCTTTTAAAGCTTTTAATTATCATAAGGATTAGGGTAAACTCATCATCAGTCTCACTATTTATTTATATTCCACTACAAATAGTATTATCATAACATTAAATTAACAAACAATATACATATTATAGTAGTAATCCATAAAGCCTTAACAATACAGTAAAACCCGCTTAAAACGATTTCTCTGGGACCCTACCTAAAAGGGGTCTTAGCAAGAAAGCCTATTATGCGGGATAGGTAAAATAATACGTAATGTAATATATTATTATGTATTATGTTCTAGTTTTGGTATATATAGGTATTCGATTATAAATTTATAAATTAAATTAAATACGTAGTGTAATTATAATTACATTATTTAAAATAATCACTTATTTTGGTTTGACAGAAAGATTTTGATGCATTAGCATTTAAAAGATTTTCAACATAATTCAACTTTTGCAGTGCGTCTTCGCTTTGATCCGAAGAAGCTACATAGCGCCTTAAATCATTAACGGCTGATAATGCCTGGGCGTTTGACAAAGCCGGAGTTGACTCATGTTCGTCTTCATCATTATCACTTAGAGCCTCGTTTTGTGTGTCATTCACATTTTCAATAAGCCTTTCTGGGGGATCGCGTTAGAGCGCTCGGTTAGACCTCTCGACTCGGGCTCGGGCGTATTAAACGGGATGACGAATCGTATTAAGCGTTAAGAAATGTATGAAAATATGTCACAAGTTGCAGAGACTGGCGTAAAGTGGCGTATTTTGCGAGAAATCGTATTAAGCGTTACGGTGCGTACAGACTATATAACATAACATGTTATACAACATTGCTATATAACATATTTCAGATAATGTGGACACTGAATGTTATAAAACATGTTATAATAACATGTTATTGATATGTACCACAATGTTATATTGTTATGTTATTGATATGAACCCAGCATCTAGGTTTTTTTTGTTTTTCTTTTGTTATTTAAAATTACAACAGTCGCTGCCGCAGCCAGCAAAACGTCCTCTTGTGTCGACATTGTGGATAGCACTGGAGAATAGGGATGTGAAAAAATAATCGATTATTAAAAAAATCTATTAAAATCGATTTTTTACGCGATTTTTATATTTAAAATAATCGATTATTGATCGATTTTTTTTATAATTGAAAATAAATCATAGTCGATTTTTCCACTGCCACCTCCCGACATTATGTTTGGTCTTTTATAACCCGGACCTCGAACTATTACGGATATTTGATATACATCGATGTTTAGAATGCGATACATTGAATACGATTCTTTGAAGATGTATTGATATACTCGATGCATTGATGTTTTTTTGTAAAACATCGAAAGGATGATAAAACCAGTTAATTTTAGGTACAAAGACTCAAGTTTGAATGGAACACTATAATTTAAAAGTTCAATAAATTTATTCAGCAGCACAAGATAACATACAATTAAAAAGACAACAAAAATACTGCAATTTGTTACTGAAAAGGCATAACTAAGCATTTATCAAATTTCACCTAAAATCTATCAAAACGAGATTAAGTTAATTTCGATTTTGATTATTCTTAAACGTTAATTTGTGTTTATAATTTCTATTGTAAAAATCCCTGAATATCTTATTTTTCAGTAAAAATCCCTAAATATCTTATTTTTCAGTAAAAAAAAACCATGAAAAATAAGATATTTAGGGTGATTATTTTGAAATTAATTCAAAAATTAGGAAAAAACTCGAATAATAAAAAAATCGATTATTTTTTAAAGAAAAATCGATTATTTATTATTTATTTACAGCCTTATATCAGAAATACTAAATATATACATTATAACTGTTATTTTTCTTAATCTACGATAACTGATTCTGTGTGCCTACGGGCAAAGGCCTCCCCCATTGTCCTCCATTTTTCCTTATTGTATACCAATCTCGTCCAGGTCTTAGTCTTACCTGCCATTTCCATGATTCCATCGGCCCACCTTTTAAATTGCCTACCTCAGTTTCTTTTATGGCCTCTTGGTTGCCATATTTATTAATCGATTAATAAAAAATCTATGTTTTATGCAGAATGTCACATCCCTACTGGAGAACAACAAACGACAATGGTTATATAACATTGTTATATTGCATTGTTATTCTAATGTGTACAGTATTGTTTTATGTTATAATGTTGAATAACAAGGTTACATACTGTGGACGTGTTATAAAACACAAGTTATATAACATGTTACAAAGTCTGTACGCACCCTTAAGAAATGTTTGAAAATATGTCACAAGTTGCAGAGACTGGCGTTAAGTGGCGTATTATGCGAGAAATCGTATTAAGCGTTAAGAAATGTATGAAAATATGTCACAAGTTGCAGAGACTGGCGTAAAGTGGCGTATTATGCGAGAAATCGTATTAAGCGTTAAGAAATGTATGAAAATATGTCACAAGTTGCAGAGACTGACGTTAAGTGGCGTATTAAGCGAGAAATCGTATTAAGCGTTAAGAAATGTATGAAAATATGTCACAAGTTGCAGAGACTGACGTTAAGTGGCGTATTAAGCGAGAAATCGTATTAAGCGTTAAGAAATGTATGAAAATATGTCACAAGTTGCAGAGACTGGCGTAAAGTGGCGTATTATGCGAGAAATCGTATTAAGCGTTAAGAAATGTATGAAAATATGTCACAAGTTGCAGAGACTGACGTTAAGTGGCGTATTAAGCGAGAAATCGTATTAAGCGTTAAGAAATGTATGAAAATATGTCACAAGTTGCAGAGACTGGCGTAAAGTGGCGTATTATGCGAGAAATCGTATTAAGCGTTAAGAAATGTATGAAAATATGTCACAAGTTGCAGAGACTGGCGTAAAGTGGCGTATTATGCGAGAAATCGTATTAAGCGTTAAGAAATGTATGAAAATATGTCACAAGTTGCAGAGACTGACGTTAAGTGGCGTATTAAGCGAGAAATCGTATTAAGCGTTAAGAAATGTATGAAAATATGTCACAAGTTGCAGAGACTGACGTTAAGTGGCGTATTAAGCGAGAAATCGTATTAAGCGTTAAGAAATGTATGATAATATGTCACAAGTTGCAGAGACTGGCGTAAAGTGGCGTATTAAGCGAGAAATCGTATTAAGCGTTAAGAAATGTATGATAATATGTCACAAGTTGCAGAGACTGGCGTAAAGTGGCGTATTAAGCGAGAAATCGTATTAAGCGTTAAGAAATGTATGAAAATATGTCACAAGTTGCAGAGACTGGCGTAAAGTGGCGTATTATGCGAGAAATCGTATTAAGCGTTAAGAAATGTATGAAAATATGTCACAACTTGCAGAGACTGGCGTAAATGGCGTATTATGCGAGAAATCGTATTAAGCGTTAAGAAATGTATGAAAATATGTCACAAGTTGCAGAGACTGGCGTAAAGTGGCGTATTATGCGAGAAATCGTATTAAGCGTTAAGAAATGTATGAAAATATGTCACAAGTTGCAAAGACTGGCGTAAAGTGGCGTATTATGCGAGAAATCGTATTAAGCGTTAAGAAATGTATGAAAATATGTCACAAGTTGCAGAGACTGGCGTAAAGTGGCGTATTAAGCGAGAAATCGTATTAAGCGTTAAGAAATGTATGAAAATATGTCACAAGTTGCAGAGACTGACGTTAAGTGGCGTATTATGCGAGAAATCGTATTAAGCGTTAAGAAATGTATGAAAATATGTCACAAGTTGCAAAGACTGGCGTAAAGTGGCGTATTATGCGAGAAATCGTATTAAGCGTTAAGAAATGTTTGAAAATATGTCACAAGTTGCAGAGACTGGCTTAAAGTGGCGTATTATGCGAGAAATCGTATTAAGCGTTAAGAAATGTATGAAAATATGTCACAAGTTGCAGAGACTGGCGTAAAGTGGCGTATTATGCGAGAAATCGTATTAAGCGTTAAGAAATGTATGAAAATATGTCACAAGTTGCAGAGACTGGCGTAAAGTGGCGTATTAAGCGAGAAATCGTATTAAGCGTTAAGAAATGTTTGAAAATATGTTACAAGTTGCAGAGACTGGCTTAAAGTGGCGTATTATGCGAGAAATCGTATTAAGCGTTAAGAAATGTATGAAAATATGTCACAAGTTGCAGAGACTGGCGTAAAGTGGCGTATTATGCGAGAAATCGTATTAAGCGTTAAGAAATGTATGAAAATATGTCACAAGTTGCAGAGACTGGCGTAAAGTGGCGTATTATGCGAGAAATCGTATTAAGCGTTAAGAAATGTATGAAAATATGTCACAAGTTGCAGAGACTGGCGTAAAGTGGCGTATTATGCGAGAAATCGTATTAAGCGTTAAGAAATGTATGAAAATATGTCACAAGTTGCAGAGACTGGCGTAAAGTGGCGTATTATGCGAGAAATCGTATTAAGCGTTAAGAAATGTATGAAAATATGTCACAAGTTGCAGAGACTGGCGTAAAGTGGCGTATTATGCGAGAAATCGTATTAAGCGTTAAGAAATGTATGAAAATATGTCACAAGTTGCAGAGACTGGCGTAAAGTGGCGTATTAAGCGAGAAATCGTATTAAGCGTTAAGAAATGTATGATAATATGTCACAAGTTGCAGAGACTGGCGTAAAGTGGCGTATTAAGCGAGAAATCGTATTAAGCGTTAAGAAATGTATGATAATATGTCACAAGTTGCAGAGACTGGCGTAAAGTGGCGTATTAAGCGAGAAATCGTATTAAGCGTTAAGAAATGTATGAAAATATGTCACAAGTTGCAGAGACTGGCGTAAAGTGGCGTATTATGCGAGAAATCGTATTAAGCGTTAAGAAATGTATGAAAATATGTCACAAGTTGCAGAGACTGGCGTAAATGGCGTATTATGCGAGAAATCGTATTAAGCGTTAAGAAATGTATGAAAATATGTCACAAGTTGCAGAGACTGGCGTAAAGTGGCGTATTAAGCGAGAAATCGTATTAAGCGTTAAGAAATGTATGATAATATGTCACAAGTTGCAGAGACTGGCGTAAAGTGGCGTATTAAGCGAGAAATCGTATTAAGCGTTAAGAAATGTATGATAATATGTCACAAGTTGCAGAGACTGGCGTAAAGTGGCGTATTAAGCGAGAAATCGTATTAAGCGTTAAGAAATGTATGAAAATATGTCACAAGTTGCAGAGACTGGCGTAAAGTGGCGTATTATGCGAGAAATCGTATTAAGCGTTAAGAAATGTATGAAAATATGTCACAAGTTGCAGAGACTGGCGTAAATGGCGTATTATGCGAGAAATCGTATTAAGCGTTAAGAAATGTATGAAAATATGTCACAAGTTGCAGAGACTGGCGTAAAGTGGCGTATTATGCGAGAAATCGTATTAAGCGTTAAGAAATGTATGAAAATATGTCACAAGTTGCAAAGACTGGCGTAAAGTGGCGTATTATGCGAGAAATCGTATTAAGCGTTAAGAAATGTATGAAAATATGTCACAAGTTGCAGAGACTGGCGTAAAGTGGCGTATTAAGCGAGAAATCGTATTAAGCGTTAAGAAATGTATGAAAATATGTCACAAGTTGCAGAGACTGACGTTAAGTGGCGTATTATGCGAGAAATCGTATTAAGCGTTAAGAAATGTATGAAAATATGTCACAAGTTGCAAAGACTGGCGTAAAGTGGCGTATTATGCGAGAAATCGTATTAAGCGTTAAGAAATGTTTGAAAATATGTCACAAGTTGCAGAGACTGGCTTAAAGTGGCGTATTATGCGAGAAATCGTATTAAGCGTTAAGAAATGTATGAAAATATGTCACAAGTTGCAGAGACTGGCGTAAAGTGGCGTATTATGCGAGAAATCGTATTAAGCGTTAAGAAATGTATGAAAATATGTCACAAGTTGCAGAGACTGGCGTAAAGTGGCGTATTAAGCGAGAAATCGTATTAAGCGTTAAGAAATGTTTGAAAATATGTCACAAGTTGCAGAGACTGGCTTAAAGTGGCGTATTATGCGAGAAATCGTATTAAGCGTTAAGAAATGTATGAAAATATGTCACAAGTTGCAGAGACTGGCGTAAAGTGGCGTATTATGCGAGAAATCGTATTAAGCGTTAAGAAATGTATGAAAATATGTCACAAGTTGCAGAGACTGGCGTAAAGTGGCGTATTATGCGAGAAATCGTATTAAGCGTTAAGAAATGTATGAAAATATGTCACAAGTTGCAGAGACTGGCGTAAAGTGGCGTATTATGCGAGAAATCGTATTAAGCGTTAAGAAATGTATGAAAATATGTCACAAGTTGCAGAGACTGGCGTAAAGTGGCGTATTATGCGAGAAATCGTATTAAGCGTTAAGAAATGTATGAAAATATGTCACAAGTTGCAGAGACTGGCGTAAAGTGGCGTATTATGCGAGAAATCGTATTAAGCGTTAAGAAATGTATGAAAATATGTCACAAGTTGCAGAGACTGGCGTAAAGTGGCGTATTATGCGAGAAATCGTATTAAGCGTTAAGAAATGTATGAAAATATGTCACAAGTTGCAGAGACTGGCGTAAAGTGGCGTATTATGCGAGAAATCGTATTAAGCGTTAAGAAATGTATGAAAATATGTCACAAGTTGCAGAGACTGGCGTAAAGTGGCGTATTATGCGAGAAATCGTATTAAGCGTTAAGAAATGTATGAAAATATGTCACAAGTTGCAGAGACTGGCGTAAAGTGGCGTATTATGCGAGAAATCGTATTAAGCGTTAAGAAATGTATGAAAATATGTCACAAGTTGCAGAGACTGGCGTAAAGTGGCGTATTATGCGAGAAATCGTATTAAGCGTTAAGAAATGTATGAAAATATGTCACAAGTTGCAGAGACTGACGTTAAGTGGCGTATTAAGCGAGAAATCGTATTAAGCGTTAAGAAATGTATGAAAATATGTCACAAGTTGCAGAGACTGGCGTAAAGTGGCGTATTAAGCGAGAAATCGTATTAAGCGTTAAGAAATGTATGAAAATATGTCACAAGTCGCAGAGACTGACGTTAAGTGGCGTATTATGCGAGAAATCGTATTAAGCGTTAAGAAATGTATGAAAATATGTCACAAGTTGCAGAGACTGGCGTAAAGTGGCGTATTATGCGAGAAATCGTATTAAGCGTTAAGAAATGTATGAAAATATGTCACAAGTTGCAGAGACTGGCGTAAAGTGGCGTATTATGCGAGAAATCGTATTAAGCGTTAAGAAATGTATGAAAATATGTCACAAGTTGCAGAGACTGGCGTAAAGTGGCGTATTATGCGAGAAATCGTATTAAGCGTTAAGAAATGTATGAAAATATGTCACAAGTTGCAGAGACTGGCGTAAAGTGGCGTATTAAGCGAGAAATCGTATTAAGCGTTAAGAAATGTATGAAAATATGTCACAAGTTGCAGAGACTGGCGTAAAGTGGCGTATTAAGCGAGAAATCGTATTAAGCGTTAAGAAATGTATGAAAATATGTCACAAGTTGCAGAGACTGACGTTAAGTGGCGTATTAAGCGAGAAATCGTATTAAGCGTTAAGAAATGTATGAAAATATGTCACAAGTTGCAGAGACTGGCGTAAAGTGGCGTATTATGCGAGAAATCGTATTAAGCGTTAAGAAATGTATGAAAATATGTCACAAGTTGCAGAGACTGGCGTAAAGTGGCGTATTATGCGAGAAATCGTATTAAGCGTTAAGAAATGTATGAAAATATGTCACAAGTTGCAGAGACTGACGTTAAGTGGCGTATTAAGCGAGAAATCGTATTAAGCGTTAAGAAATGTATGAAAATATGTCACAAGTTGCAGAGACTGGCGTAAAGTGGCGTATTATGCGAGAAATCGTATTAAGCGTTAAGAAATGTTTGAAAATATGTCACAAGTTGCAGAGACTGGCGTAAAGTGGCGTATTATGCGAGAAATCGTATTAAGCGTTAAGAAATGTTTGAAAATATGTCACAAGTTGCAGAGACTGGCGTAAAGTGGCGTATTATGCGAGAAATTGTATTAAGCGTGATCGTCTTAAATGGGTTCTACTGTATTAACTTAGTTGTCATAGTTATACTTTTCTGATCGTTTTGGTCTGATTCTTGTATTTTTATTACACTAAAAATCAAACCCAGGACCTACATTGATATAGACTCTGCTCAGAACTACATCTTTATTACAGAAGGAGAAAAGCCACTATTTAAAGAACTTTATTCTCTGTTGGATGATAACTATAAGACCATAGAGAGTGCTCAATATCTGAACAATAAAAGACTGATTAAAAATTATTGGAGTCAGAGGGATGATATTGATCTACGAATGAAGGTAAAAAATATTCCTTATATGTATATACCAATATCCAATTAATACTTTAGTTGTTTTTTTTTGTAATGTGTAAGTTATAAAAGTGTGCGACTCTCATCCCTGAGGTCGTAGATTTGATCCCCGGCTGTGCTCCAATGGATTTTCTTTCCATGTGCAACGAAAGTGTGTGTGTTTACGAACGGTCAAAGAAACCGGCTTGCCTCAGACCCAAAAAGTCGAGGGCGTGCGTCAGGCACAGAAGGCTGACCACTTACTTGCCTATTAGAACAAATGATCATGAAACAGATACAGAAATCTGAGGCGCAGACCTAAAATGGTTGTAGCGCCATTGATTTTTTTATGTTATAAAAGTGCTGAACTTGTTTAAAAGTCTATTTCACATATAACATATCAATTGTTGCATTTCCTTTTGTTTTAAAAAATATATTTTTGTTAAAAAACCTTTTTTTGAATTAGTATCAAAACATCCAAAAATATACCTTATGAGGAAAATCATACTAGACTAGGTATATTTATATTTAGATACTATAGATATAATTACTGAATAATTTAAAAAAAATCTAAATGATAAATTTCAGGGTGTGTTAAACATGATGGATAAGGAGTGGCTTGGTGGATGGTGCTCCCTTCTCACGGGAAAGTTAGTGGATTCAAAACTGAAAAATAAAATAATCCATTACGTAGACTCTGCCATTTCTGATTGGGGGTATGTATTTTTCTATATAATAGTATAGGGTCTAGAGTTTGCGTTAACCTCTCAGCTACATAAACAGAGATCTGACTTTAAACAGTTACCAAAGTTACCAGACCAAAGTCTCTGGTGACTCTGATTAGGAGGAGGTCTTATGTACTCGCGTAAGAAGTTATACTTCTTTGGCATTATTAAAAATAGTTTTTAGCATATAATAATAGTAATTATTATTATTATTAAAGCTTTATTGTTGATCCATACAACAATTGGTTAGTTTACATTCCTTAATATTAGTATTAGTTATTATGAGTTTTGAACAAAATTAAATTTTGTTTAAGCAAATAATTAATAACAATTAAATAATCAAAGACTGGAAAAGGAGTCATTATAGTCAATAAAGTTCAGTTTACATTTGAAAAATTAAATAAATAAATATTTATTATTATTCTCTTACATTAAGTGTAACATAAATTCTATTATTATTCGAATGTTGTTTTTAAATTATGTCCAATGCCGTAGCATCTTCCATGGGCAACTTCATTCTGTTAATTTTATGTAACGGTGCGCGCGCATTTAAAATTTCACTCTCATCAATTTTTCATAACGCGCCTAAAGAAGTATAAGTTCAAAAATATAGAAAAAAATTCCAGAAATTTTTGCTAAGCAGAAATATATTGATGGACTTTGACTTGGTGTTAGAGTAAAATTCATAATCTTTACTCCTCGTTACAGGTTCATAAAACTAACAACCAAACAGAAAATACTGCTATACAACCTCATGGACTGCTCACCGGTGTTGTCATCACAACAAATTAAATCTTGCATCCGGCAGATTTTGACGGAACATGGCGACACTGAAGAATTAAGGACTTTTAAACGTGATATAAAGTGTTTAGACTGTGATAGTGATTTTAGATTCTCTAGTGAATTGTGCTTGAACTGTTTGTCGAAGTGTTTTGAAGAAATTCACAAGTTTAGTGTGGTCGATGGTATCAAAGCGTTTTCTCAAGTGGCAATGAAGATAAAGGATGATTTAGATTTTAGGGAAGCACGCAGACATCCTGTCATCTTGATTGTTGATGAGGTATGTAATGTTTGTTTTATCAACATTTTGATGGTAAGTATAGAGAAATGGCATCAAAAACTCAGTTCTTCTACTGTAACAAGTTTTGAGATTGTTGTAATACTATCATGTAAGGCCATCACATACACAATGGATCTCACTAGTAATACATATTATATTAAATCTTAACAATCAAATATACTATTTACAATTTTCTTAACCTACATAGTAATAATTAAAATTAATAAAAAGAAAATTTAATCAAATTCAAATAGTTTGGTCCCTGTGGCAGTGTTTCCCGCTGGCAGCATTTCCTCGCTGTATTGCGAAACTAATTCGTTGATCGAGAAAAGCACCAGCTCTTACATTAAATTAGATTGTTTATTGTGATTCCAAGACAAATTCAGGCGTCTAGTTTTATCGAAAACAAAGCTATAAAAAAATCGAAAATGTCCTGAACTGTTAGGAATAATGGCCGTGCCTTAGATATTGATATAAATTTATAGAGAGATTTCGATATACTCGACTCGACTAAAAATTGGTATTATCAAATAAACATTGAAAACTACCAATTCCACCGTTAGATTCACATGTATGGCTCCATTTTTTTTTTGTATTATAGTTTTTGTGTTCTTATAATATTTATTCCCCGTTCTATACTTTAACTAAATCACCTATAGATGTGATGATGATGATAAATGGGTTAGTAAGGATACTTAATCCTGCAAATGTATTTTCTTTCTACAGTTACTAGATTCATTCCCATGGGAATCTTTACCAGCTCTGAACCCGCATCCCATCACTCGGATGGAAAATATTCACTTCCTCTACTACTTGTACAAGACGCATGAAGATAGCATAGTTGACGGATATTTTTTAACGAAGTCAGAGGTCGGCAGATATGTTATTAATCCTGGTGAGTCCATTTCGCATATTTATGCAGATTTTGTTATTTGAATATAATATTTCTTCCAGTAACTCGTAATAAGAAAGTATTAGGGGTCGTTCAAGTAGTAATATGTGTAAAAAAAGTAAATAATTACTGTTGACGTAATCACCAAATAATAAAATCAAAGACCCCGTAAAGAAGAAAAAATATTTTTTTAATAGTGGTACTGTCTTTGGTCATATTGTCATTATGGTACAACATATGAGGGGATTTAGGCGCGTATTCCAATAGGTACCACAAGTCATAATTATTAAAAGGCTGGTCGTGTCCATGGGCTGCGGTATTACTTAACATCAGGGGAGCCTCCAGCCCGTTTGCCCCCTCTATTATATAATACTAGCTGACCTGGCAAACGTCGTTTTGCCATGTATATCATTTATAATAAAAAATAGGGGTTGATCGTAGAGGGGTGAAAATTAGGGGTTGTATGTATTTTTTAATGCTGTATCATAATAAATAATAAAAATAATTTTATCTATAAATTAAAAAATAATAATTTAGGGGTGGACTACCCTTAACCTTTAGGGGGATGAAAAATAGATGTTGTCCGATTCTCAGAGTTACATGCACACAAAATTTAATGAGAATCGGTCAAGCCGTTTCGGAGGAGTTTAACTACAAACGCCGCGACACGAGAATTTTATGTATTAGATTTTACAGAAAAAAACCGAACTGTTACTACAGCTAAATCAGTCTTCTCTTTCTTAAAATATTTCCTCACACCTTCTTTGCTAATATATTTTCAGACAAAGACCTACAGCGTATGCAGCTTCGTATGCAGTCCTTCATAGAATTCTGGTGCGGAGACTGGAAGGGTCGAATCGCTGAGCCACCAGCGCCGGGAGAACTGCTTGAATATTTGAACGCAGCTGACATTTTCCTGTAAGTGAAGTCGGAACAATCGACTAGTAGCAATTACGACTCGTATTGTGAATATAGAGACCAGTGTTGGCATAGTAGCTTCAGTGTGCGACTTTCATACCAGAGGTCGTAGGTTCGATCCCCGGCTTATGGACTTTATTTCTATGTGCGCATTTAACATTCGCTCGAACGGTGACGGAAAACATCGTGAGAAAACCGACATCGTCTTATACCCAAAAAGTCGACGGCGTGTGTCAGGCACAGGAGGCTGATCACCTACTTGCCTATTAGATTTAAAACTGATCATGAAACAGATTCAGAAATCTGAGGCCCAGACCTAAAGAGGTTGTAGCGCCGCTGATTTTATTATTGTGAATATGGAAACAGGGATCAAGCTTTTGTTAAATATTTCCTCAGCTACTGCGGCCACGGCGATGGCGTAGGCGCAGTGTGTAGTGGCAGCGGTGTGTGTCGCGGCCGTTGTGTTTGTGTGTTGTCCGGGTGTGGGTCTGTGCGTCTGAGTGGCGCCAGTGGGAGGGCGCCACCTGCCGCCCCGCACCAACACCTGCATGTCGCAGGCTGGTGAGTATTTATTTATAAAGTTCTGCCCACCGACATAGCAAAACTATATAAAACTAGCTGATTATCCAAACGGTGGAAGAAGAGTGAGAATAAAGAGGACTATCACATATTCTCAGACCGACGTTTCGAATTATTTACTTATTTAAACTTAAATCTATAACAAGGTATTATTAAAATAAAAGGCCGGCAACGTATTGGTGCCTTCTAGCAATGTAAGTAATATTTGGTTAACGCATAATGCTAAATACATATTTAAATTTATCTAGTAAAGTCAAAGTCAAAATTCATTAATTCATGTAGGTTACACAATGTACACTTATGAACGGCAAAAAAGAAATATACATTAAATGCTTCTATTTCATTGGCGTAGAACGGAAGAAAAGAACTGGCAATAAACTCTCCGCCACTCTTTTTAATCGCCAAGTTTTTTGTTTTACACAACGTTAAGGAGCTGCAACCATTACACCATGTTCCACATGACAAATTACTTAATTAATAAAAATAAATTAAAAACAAAGATTTGTCCTCTATCAAATAATCGACATGAAACTACTGCCATTCGATGCGAAATTTTTCCTAGATGGTTTATGGCTATTTATTTTTTAAATTCCAACATTCCTTCATTTTTTTATTGCTGTTTTACTTTTATGAAAATTTATATATACGGACTTCACCGCGGAAACATTCGGGGAGGCTTCCTAGAACCTCAAATCGTCAACATCTGTTAAAAACTCGATTTTCGAAATTTTTCAATTTTCTTAGCGGGAAGTTAAAAAGAAGAATAATAAAATTATGAAAAATAATGATAATGAAACATAAAATTTTATTTATTTCCTATTTTAATTCGCCCATTGAAGCGGGCGGGAAACAGCTAGTTATAATATAAAGTAAAAACAGCCAAATCCATATTCCATAAATTTCTCCTTCCAGTCCCTGCGTGGTGGGAATGCTGTGGGAAGTAACGGATTTAGAAGTGGATAAAGTGGTGAGCACATTGGTAGCCCTCAGTGTCTCAAGTAAAGCCCCGCTCGACTGGAAATGTGTGGGCAAAGCCAAGTGGAGTCAAGGGGAAATTGGTAAGAGATATTAATACTAAAGAAAGGTTTTAGGAAGAAATTACTAGAAAATTCAAATTCAAATTACAAATAATTTTATTAAATTTTCAGATTGCCCCCTTAACAATCAAATTGCCACACCTTCGGAATTAATCTTATCATTTCATTCATAATTTTTCATAAAACCGTTTATTTATTTCGTACTACAGTTATTTTAAAATATATAACTATAACAATCATACTAAAAATATAGCCAAAGGCAAATAAAAATTCAGTAATCACCCCTATAACACAAATGACCTGAACTGCATTATAGGAAATCGTGCTGTAGCGTGTGCATGTGCGCTGGGTTTTAAAAAGTTATTAAGTTTAATTTTATAGCAACACAATTAAAGGTGCAAAGATACGCAAAACTAATTATGGACTTCAGAAATCATTATACATTTCACACCACAGAAATATAACTTGAGAAAACTCCGCGTTATAGGTCGAAATACCGCGTTATATGCGAGACTGACATCGCTGATTACTGTATATATAAGAAGGTTCAAATATTTTTTTATTTTCAGACACAAATGTCGAACAGAAGCCACGATCGCCGCCGGAGCAAAATTTGCTTTTAGCAATATCGAAGGCGCGTCAGGCAACCAATTATCTCATGATATCAACTAGTATTGTCTCCAGAGGGTTGCCAGTTAAAATAATTGATACACCATAAATATATGTATATATTATACGTAGTTGTATTTATTTACCCCAATGTTCAGGTGACACACATATTGATCTGACGTCAAAGCTGTCAATTTCAGTCGGAATTGTTTAATGACGTTATAATTTAATGGCCATTAAATCGGTTTTATAGTCTGTGTCAAACATTTGCACAACTGACGATTGAATTACCCAATTTTCACCTGATTATTCCCGGTACCTGTACTCGTTCGGCGCTGTCCCGAAGTGCTGTTTTTGGCTTTTTGAAAATTGAAGCCTTTTAATAAATCAATTGCCAAAACGATATATAGTAAATTTGCTCGTAATTTTACACCAGGCGCTTTAATGTAACAGCGTAGACGGAGCATCAATTCGTGGCATAACATAACTTTTTATGTCCAAGACTTTTGGCCTTTCGTTTTTATTGGAATCCATTTTATGCAACATTTATATGTTTTTTATCGCACTTACGTTATTGAATTTTCTACTGTATTTTATATATATCGATTTCTTTATAACCTTTCAATTATTAAGATCGAATATTTTTGTAAATACCAAAACATTAAAAAACTTCAATTAAATTGAACAAATAGACACATAGTTCCACGAACATTAAGAAAAGATATTTATCTTCCTTGACACGATATTTTGTTCTCAAACAAGGAGTAAATCAATTAATTCAAGGTTTATAATTTTTAAATCGCAATATGTGTTTTATGTGTGTGAGATCATTTCCTATTATTAATAAAAATAATTGTTACTGGTTATGCCAATCCACTCACTCGGATTACCTTGATAGTATATCTGTCTTTGTCAGACTTGGTGAGTTAAGGATACGCTTGATAATGCTATCTCGTTTTCGCACACGTGTGTTAGTCAAAGATAAGTTAAGGTAGATATAGAAACATGCGGGTATTGAATACCTGTCGTAAGTAGCACACATAGAAGAAAGTGAGAAATATTGAATTCAGTATTTCAGAATACATTTAATTACTTAAGATTTATAAAAGTAAAATAAAAACAATTTCTCAATGTTTATGATTGACACTGGAGCAAAACAAACTAAAGAAAATAATTACTTGTGGTCATTTAGAGTAGGTCTACTCCTATCTATCTTAACGTCATACAAAATCTATAATAAGTCTAGATATTAGAAGTGTAGATCGAGATTTAAACTTGAAAACTATTCAAAGCAACTAAACAATATCCTCGTAGATTTATTATCTTAAATTTCTTTTGATCTAATAAAAAAAATTGTCTTTTTCCGAGAAATCTGAATACTATTGAATGTAATGAATTAATGAAATTTCCTCAAACCCATTCTAATTATAATTACATAACTTTCATGCAGACTAATAAATTATGAGCGTCTTATCTACCGTTCTATTATCTATGACGCGTCATGCCCGTTCTACCTCAAAGGTTTTTCGTTGCTTTGTTGTGTCCGCACAGTTGTCGGGGTAACTCCGTTGCGCAGCTCCGCGCCAAACTGTTTCGGTCAGTTCAGTGCCGTGATACGGAAATGATACGCTAGTGAACGTAAAAATTAATAATGGCATTAAAAAAGGATTTCGAAATCCCCGTTAGTGTTTTCAAGCAAATTAAATTGCCCAAAAGTGCGAAAATACAGCAGGCATTCGAGAAATTGTTCAAAAAGAACAACTATACGAAAATAGTGCAAAGTTAAGAATTGTGTAAATAAATGGCTGGTGAATCTAGTGCAATTAGTAGAAATAGTTCTTTTGATACGCTTTTTATTGATTCAGAGACGGAATTTGTCGGTAAGGGTAATAAAACTCATGTGAAAAATAATAGAAGTAGGAGTGGGAGCAGAATTACAAGTTCGTTGAGCGTGACTGATGATACATTTTACAAGGATCTAGAAGATTACGTGAAGGAAATGGCGGGTAATACGAGCGTGGAAACGGATGATGTTTGGAGACAGTTGCAGCAGAAGGAATCTGACCTTCTGTTGGCGGCGGAGCTGGGAAAGGCACTGCTAGAAAAGAATGAAGAGTTAAAGAAGGAACAGGATAAGGCGGCTGAGGATTTCTCTAAAAAACTTGAGGTAAGAATCTCTATATAATAATTAATCAGCAATTACCGTTAGATCCTTAGTTTTAATTAATTAAAAAGTTCATTTACCTAGATTTAATTACCAGAATAAGCAAAATGGCGTAAATACAACATCGTTGTATTATCGTTCGATTTTTAAAATTTCAAAGATATTTTGCGAAACTTATTTGTTCTAATTTTGATATTGAAAAAAGCGTGAATCAGACAAAGATTATATACCTGAAATTTAGGGTCGCTGCGAACAAAAAAATATTTTAGATTAAATAAAGGCCTAGTATACTAAAATTTCTATGAATTTAATAACAATATTATTAATTTTAATAAAACACTATTTTGACCGGATTGAAGTTATGTATTATTATAAATAGTGTTTTATTAAATGAATAAAAGTTATGTTAATCAAAGACAATACTATTATTAATTTTATTTGGTATCAGAACGAGATTTTTATATCACTCTATATAACAACGCTGTATTTGTTAATGTTGTGTAATGGGTAATTAGTGGTATTAATTATATTTCAATTAATATACTAAGGGTAATAATATACTTAAATTAAAGTAGGCTTCACGTATGTCAAAATCCAATACCTTTTTGACATACAGGAATCGTACTTGAAGGTAGGTTCTTTCATACATCAGAGTTCATTATTGGAAAACTATTCCCGTTGATTATGTCTGTACTGAATATTGAATGTCTTGTGTTGGCTGTGTTTGTGTTTTATTTTTATAATAATAGGCCCAAAAAAGTCGGCGGCGTATATCAAGCAGTGGAGGCTGATCTACTTGCCTATTAGATTGACAAATGATCATGAAACAGATACAGATAATAAAAAGGCTACAAACTTTTTGGCCCCACACATTTTTTATTTAATAATAACCTTTTGTTTGATTTTTAAAACTGTTTATACTGTATAAACCCTTTCTGTAAGATAGCATACATTTGCCTTAAAACATTTCAACCCTAATTTAGTGTTACGTTACACAAGTTGCTTGTTGGAAAAATATCAAATCATATATTTCAATTAGGCCTATAAAAAAGGTCACAATTACACAAAAATATTCTGCCCCTAGCTAGACTAGCTGCCCCTTCCAAAAAGTAGTTTCATATGGAGAATGGGCAAGGAACTCCATACTTACTCTTTTAAATAGTTTTTACAATTGTATACATTGATTTGATACTTATATGTGAAGACTACAGCCCTGCGATTCTGTAACTCACTTTTCAAACTCACACAGCGGTTTTCGCATCGGCGGTCGCTCTCAAATCAGTCGTGAAGCAGTCATTTTATGATTTGGCATTCTGAAAAGGTGGGAGCTTGTAGTTTATTGTTTATTAGAATGCCAAATGATAAAATGACTGCTTAACGACTGATTTCAGAGCGACCGCCGATGCGAAAACCGCTGTGTGAGTTCGAAAAGTGAGTTACAGAATCGCAGGGCTGTACTCTGTAACAGTCGCTTCGAAGACGCAAATATCGACGGCGCTAATCACACTGCCTATTAAAAATTATTAACAAGGAGATATCCAAGGGTTGTAGGCTGTAGCGCCACTATATTCGCACGTATTGGAGGACATACGTCATATGATACATAGTTATGGTATTATGTTGGCTATCATTATTGCTGATATTTACGACATTGATAAAGGCTTATCGGAAATCAATATAACGACGCAATAATGCATTGTTTCACCGCTTTTTATATAGCAACACTGTAGCATATACATTAGTATTTTTGTCTTGGCGTAGTGGTTAACATATATCAAAAATACAGTGGCGCTACAACCTTTTAAGTCAGGCCTCAGTATCTGTTTCATCATCATTTGTCAATCTAATACGTCGACTTTTTCGGTCTAAGACTGGCTGGTTTCCTCACGATGTTTTTCTTCACCGTAAGAGTGTTAAATGGAAGCACATAGGAAGTCCATTGTTGCTCAGTCGGGGATCGAACATACGACCTCAAGGATGAGAGTCGCACGCTGAAGCAGTTTTGGAAAATGTCTATTTCGCATTGAAGGAGCTAAATCTTGTAGTTTTTGAGATTATTTATTACAAAATATATCCTCTCTATAGTACCTACAGAAGTATAATAGATAGATATAGGTGAGAAAGCTATATGAATCGAATTTTCTTTCATAAAAAGCTATGAAAGAAATAAGATATGATAAGACTATTTTGATAATATCAACTACGATTTCAAAAATAAGTTTCACAATTCACAATTTACAGGGAATATCACTAAACCGCACTATAACGCGATTGCCGTCCCCCATATAACGCGCTATTTCACCCCTATAACGAGGAAATTTCTTAAGTTTATAGTTCGCTTTGCGTACTTTTGCACCTGTTTTAATTGTGTTAAACTAAATAACTTTATTAAATTCGTGTTCCTTGTTTTTTAATTGTTAAAAAAATGGCTTTTGCGGGAATGCTCCTACAACGCGATTTCCTATAATGCGGTCCGAGTGTACCGGTTTATATGGGGGATTAATTTATTCCAAATCTACATTTAGCCTTTTAAATAAAATACAACTGAAATATTGTATTGTCAGATATCGGGCGCAGTGCCAAATAAAGTCAATATCGATGGCCAAGCATTGTAAACTGGTATGACTGGTAGGTCGTTAGCACACCGTTATGGTGAATCACGGAGAAACAGGATTTTCAGCTTTAAGCTCGGAAGTTCGTATAACTTTGCTAACTTTAAATGGAACTTTGATAACTCGGTCATAGCTTTATTAGTAGCTGTGGGATTCTAGCCTCAACAATTCACGATGTTTGGTTAATAAACTTTTACAAAAATAATATATTTCGTTAGACATATGGCGGACTTTTTTGTAGATATTGATGTCTTCTATAAAACTGTAGTACATCACTTTGCTCTATTGTCAATAGTTTCCGTAGCGTACGCTAATTATGAATGTTTACGGGTCTTACTTAAGATGTCATGTGGAACAGGGTGTAATGGTTGTAGCTCCTTACAAACGTTGTACATAAAAAGAAAAACATGGCGATTAAAGAGTGGCGGAGAGTTTATTGCCAGTTCTTCTCGTCCGTTCTACGCACTTGATTTGAGGACTGGCAGTAAATGTAAAATTAGAAGCATTTCATATATATACATTTCTTTTTTGACGTTCATAAGTGTACATTGTGTTACCTATAGGATTAAATGATTTTTGACTTTACTGATAAATGTTACAGAAAATTCTGACGTACCCAAGTTAGAGTTACTACATAAAATAATTTTATTATTAAAACATAATTGGCTTTAGTATAAACCGTTTATAGATAGTATTTATTAATATTACCACTTTTCTACATATAATATACCAAGGTCTGCTTAAAATTTTTACCTGCGTCTTAAAACTAACGGTCGTAGCTAGGCGTCGCTTCTATCTGGCGTTAAGTGAACCCTTCAGATCATAAAAAAACATTTTTACCTAAGCAATTAAGATTAACGCATTCCTTGTTGCGACAACTAATTAGTTGACAAGTGTCGTTAACGTAACAAAATACATTTTACACAATACTTACCTAGTGTTTATATTAAAATATTTAATAATTATTGTAATATTTAATATAATTGTAAGACAATATTTTTGTTGAGCAAGGGTTGTTTAATTCGCCGTTATTTGAAGTTTATATTGACGACATGTTATTACTTTAGAATCAGTTCAATTAAATTTTCTTCAAATAGCTAGACGTTTAATTATAATCTGTTCTCTAATATGGGGCCGTTCAAGTATTACGTAAGCAGATTTATCCCCCCTCCTTTTGTCAACAAAAGTAAACAAAGCTCTCAAAAGTAATAGTATAACAAATACATACGTATTAATTTTTTGAAGGAATCCTTGAAAATGCATTTCGTTTTCAAGCATTGCCAATGTGTGGGTAATATGTGTAAAAAAGGAAATAATTAATGTTGACGTAATCACCAAATACGAAAATGAAAGAAACCTAAAACTCCACCTTCACAATAAGGAGTGAGACGGAGATAACTTAAAATTCAAAGGAGGTTATTTATTAGCAGATTTTAATGCCCTGTTTTCCATATACAAAGAATAAAGATTCATTAATCACATACTAGTTCTCGTTTGCCCGCGACAGTGACCTACAAATCCCAACGCTTTAGGCAAAACACGACCTCCATTTTGATTTTGGCCATTATTCATGCAGTCGTGATGTGCATACTATGTTTCTTTTTATTCTTTTTGGTTTATTTTTAATCGCAGAGCTATTTCTCTAAAAGAACATTAATGGTAATATTATATTATTCACGTTTCGAGTGGGTTTTTGAGTCTCGTGGTCAGTTTGTCAGTGTATAACTTTCAAATCCTCCTTTGTATTTATGGGCCTTCCTGTATTAAAAATTTCCAAATCTATGGATTCTGAGATCGTAAAACTATCCAGATATAAACTAGCAAATCACGTAGAGGCTACACTAGCCAAATTGGATTTCATGTCTACAGAGGCATTGCCACGTATCTTGGTATGACTTTGAGGTTTTATAAACTAACACAGACACAGTGCACGATCATAACAACTTTCAGCTACACTCTCAAATACATGCGGCATACACACCTATTCACACACTCACTGATTCACTTCATTTGCAACACTAAATTAATTACAATTTTTTTTTATTAGGTATCATATTTTTTTTTTTTCAAATAATTTAAACATGTACTACGTAATTTGTTTTTCTAGTTACCCACAACACAGGGCCTCCCTAGTGTTCCCCAGGACTAGCGATATATGAATTCTGTCATAAAAAACAAACCCTTTTTTCATAAATAAAGTTTTTATTTATTATTTACTATTAAAATATAGAGCTTGTGACTGGTCTGATCTATCCCAACACCGCAACAGATCGGATTAACAGGACTTGTTTTTTGATGCAAATGTCTTTAACAGTGCATTTTAATCAAATTGAAACGCTCTCAAAAAAGACATAAATCAGTCATAAACCGAAAACCAATTTATCAATAGCAAAAAACATAAGCTTCCTGTCACTATTTTTGTGAAGATGCCGTTAATTTATAATTAATCAATGGATTGATGTCGGTGAGAAATAAAGCCTTTAAAGCTAATCCGAACCAAAAATCAGGTAAGGCACCATTGCGAAAGCTGTAGATAGCATATTAAATAGAAATGAATCATTCTTTGAAAACCGGTCATGCTTGTGAAACAGAGGGTTTGGCGGGCTCGTACAAGGGACCTGTCTTAGACCAATTTTGTTTCTTGTTTCTTGTTTTTATTAATGTTAATAGATTTCATTAAATTGGTTTTTAGTAATGTAAGTAATCATATAAGGTTCTTGTGTATCTTTGTGTTAACGTTTTTAATCATTATCATGATATTGTAAGACTCCATTTTAATATTTTTTAGAAACATATGGCAAATTGCATGTACTGAGTTAAGATTGTAATTGATTCTAATGTAGCAATAACAAAAAAATATGTCTTAATTAATGATTTATTTTTAGACATTATTATTTATTACATCGAATTGCGAATAATATATATTTTACACAAGTAGATTTGAAGCTAAAATTTGTTCTGAAGCAAATTTTTTTTTACAAAATTTGGAAATACTTATTCTTGTACTAAAATTTACCATATAATCAATTAAAATTCTGTAGGAACTGCATATAAGTACACATTGAAAGTGAAAGATACATTTTGTATCACTTGGTCTAACAGTTAAAACCTTTTAAAATATTTCTTAATTTTAATAATTGTTTAATTGTTAGCCGGTGAGAGCCGGAGGCCGTGGCCTCGAAACCAGAGCCTATGCTGATTTCAGTCTTATTACATTGAAATCGTTTTTGCATTTTTGAAAATATAAGGCTTTAAATTATAATTATAATAAAACGAACTAAGGATTCTCATCAATTCAGAATCGACATTAAACCGGACTCCTGTCTAAAATGTCTTGGATTTGAAACAGGAGTCCTAGTGGATTTCTGAATATCACCCTCAACCACTCTTTACTTTATTTTATTATTATTTATTACTTAAGATGTCATGTAGAACATGGTGTAATGGTTGCAGCTCCTTACGCTGTGTAAAACCAAAAACTTGGCGATTAAAAAGAGTGGCGGAGAGTTTATTGCCAGTTATTTTCTTCCGTTCTACGCCCTTGTTTTGACAACTGGCAGTAAATGTAAAATTATAAGCATTTCATGTATGTATTTTTTTTTGACGTTCATAAGTCTACATTGTGTTACCTATATGAATAAATGATTTTGAATTTTTTTGAATTACACTCCGAAGGGATCCCAATCATATTTCCAAGCAGGCGCTAGATTGAAATCCGCAAGAAAAACGGTAGATCGGTCGTTCCAGGCAAACCTTGTCGTAAAGTTGCAGATGAGGCAAAGAGAGCTGGAAAGACTTGGAGCGAGGTGAAATACGAGGCTCAGGACCGACGCGATGGAGACTCACTGTGAACGCCTTCTCATCTAGGGGTTAAAGGAAATTAAGTCAAGTCACTCTCAAGCATCAACAGGCATACCACTGGATAATCTCGAACTGTGATTGTAATTTTCAACTGTTAAGTAAAAATTAATAATTGGCAGAATTCAACTGGTATATTTCAAGCAAAGATGGCGCTTGCATAAGAAATGACTAATATCTTTTTGTAATTATTGTAGAAACCCAAGGTTAGATATTTAATTCTGCATCATTGGAATCGCTGCCGAGTTGTAGCGGCATAGATTTTTATAATGAGTTTTGGTACCACGTAATTCCAATTTGCAATCTAGTATTGCTACTGAAAGAACTGTCCAGATTGGGTGTCGTTAGTGCCAATTTTGTAATTGTCGTGTCAATCATTGAAAGCTATTGAATTTACATAGTAAGCTAGTTTTTTGTAAAAGGAAGCCTTAATATATTTAAAGAACTATATTTTATTTATTACGTATGTGGCATTACAGCCATTCCGCATAGGTGACAATATTGTAATCTGTGGATTTTATAAACACAAATATTCTCCTTTCTAGATTCATTATAAACAATAGATGCTTGCGGTTTATGCATTTGTCAGAATTGTCTTCATATTATCAGCATCATTATATTATCAGCTTCTGACAACGTAATATATAAAATACGCTTTACAATTCTTGTAAGGTTAAACAGAATTATAAGAAGTGCCTGATCACTCGATATCCTAGCAATAAGACCGAGAAATAGTTCTTTTCAAACTTTCCAAACTGTACTAGATCGAATATCGTACACGTACACAATCTTTTCTGATATTATTTGTGTTTGGCATAGTCAAAGTCAAAATCGTTTATTTATATAGGTAACACAATGTACACTTATGAACGTGATAAAAGAAATACATATTAAATGCTTCTAATTTTACACTAACTGCCAGTTCTCAAATCAAGGGCGTAGAACGGAAGAGAAGAACTGGCAATAAACTCTCCGACGTTCTTTTCAATCGCCAAGTTTTTTGTTTTACACAAAGTTTGTAAGGAGCTGCAACCTCCAGTCCAGATGACTTCTTAAGCAATTAATAATAATAAAATAAATTAAAAACATAGATTTGTCCTCCATCAGCAGGAGGCATGGTGAAATACGAGCACGCACTTACATTC